AAACGGCCTTCATTATTATCTCAAAAGTATTGAGAACAGATACACGACAATTGCTGACTTATAAGTATTCACCCAAGAGGAATCTTTGTTTACAGAATCTTTTTATGAAGCACTTTTCTATATCGAACTTTCCCAAATCATCGTTGAAGTGTAAGATTTCGTACCTCGATTTTTACTGTTTTTTTTTAACTCAGAAACCGTGCATCAAATTCGACTTCCACGTGGTGATGAATTTGATAGAAACTGTTGTTAGGATTATAGAGTATCTAGAAAAAAGGGACGAGAAAAACCGAATTTTTAACTACATTCTGAATGGCCATGTTCCTCGTTCGTGTTCAAAGGATGCCCGAAATGGAGACCCTTATGATCGAAGAAATCTGAGCTTCCTTTATGAGAAGAAGCCAAACGATGGCGTGCACCAGGCGCATCACGAGTGGCAGAGTATTAAGAAGAATTATTTGGAGGAGAACGACGGGGAGGCATACAATTGCGGTACGAACAATGGTTATGTTAACCATTCAAATGTAGGTGAGAACTGGCAGACTCCCGCTAATAAGAATGGGACGGAAGGCGAAAATGTTGTCCATAAGAAAAACTTGAACGATGAGGTAATTCTTTTGGAAAGGCCGGTTTGGAATGGTAATAGTAGCGAGGTGAACAAGCAAAAAAATAAAGACCTAAAAAATTTGTATGAAAAAATTAAGAAAAAAAGTAGAGATTTCTCCATTTTGTATAGTAAGAAATCCGACACCAAATTGGATAACCTGAATGAAGAGCAGAGCAAAGATGTAACCACTGACGACATAGCTAATAATTCGGCAAATCACACTGACAACATTTGTAGGCATTTTAAGGTTTACGCGAATGATAAAAATAATGAGCACCTCAGTGGAATGGATGAGCAGTTGCACTGTGAAGATGCGACCAGGACGAAATCCTCCAACTCGTATAATTTTATTTATTTTAACAGCAAAGTGACGGTTCTTGATAATGACAAGGCTGTTCTGGCCAAACGTGTTAGTCTACATGGGAATGATGAATTCTATGTACAAAATAAAGATGTGTTGCATAAGCCCTCAGAAGGCTATAATTGCCACATGGTTCCGACCGACGTTGTGGAGATTAAATCCGAACGAGGAGAAAGCTCTTACGTAGATCAAAACTGCAAAGAGAAAGACGCAAACGCCCCTATGAGGGGCCCCATAAAATATGGAGTTTCACGCGACAGCTCAGGGGACCCAGCTGTGACTTTGTGTAACGGAAAAATGGAGAAAGAGGCGGAGGTATTGGAAGAGAGGGCCATGGATAGTAGTAGCAACCTCAATAACGAAACCACCAGCAATCTCTTAGAAGAGGAGGAACAGAAGCGCAAAAATTGCCTAATGCACAAGTGTACCTCGAGTTACATTTCCACCAATTTTGAGAAGTTTAAAATGGAAAATTCAGCAAAAGGGAGTATGGATTTTAAGGCTGCGAAAAATAATTTGGTTCAAAAAAAGAAAAGTTTGTTAAGACGTCATGTTAAAAATTTAAGCGAATTCAAAAGGAATACTGCAACTAGTGATGGAAAGACGTCGAATGTCAATGCAAAGGCCAGTCATGCGAACTGTTATCAGGAATTTTATTTCAATGGTAAAGAAAAAAAGGATGAGGAGAAGAAGAAGTACGGGAGCACGTCTGTCCATGAGAATTTCATAGTGGTACCTGTTGTTAGCGCGGATTCGGTTCCCATTAAGAATAAAAGGAAAAAGCTGGGGAAGGAATTTATTAAGGAGCACTTTTCGCAGAATCCTAATGCAAAGGGGGATTTCGCGTGTGAGCACATATCAGATGGGAACATTGCAAATCAGCACACTGCGAATGAGTTCTTTGCGAAGGAGCATCTGGCGAAGCTACAGTTTCTAAAGGAAGATTACAAGACGGTTATTGAGTTTTTTCTGTATTTCATGACCTTCGTGAGGATTTTCTTCAGCCACCAGTTATACAAATATTTGCTAGCCACCATGAATGCCCAAATAAATAAAAGGAGCGTGTACTTGTACAATCGGTGCATCCACATTTTAGTGAATTTTCTGTTTAGCAAAGATAAGGACTTATCTGTTAAGGCCGAAAGCACTCTGCGGTTTTTGATTGTCATTAATGAGCACGATAAGGACCCGGGGCTGAACGACAGCGCGGTGAAGAATTCTGCGAAGAGTGGCAAGTGTGTGGATAAAATTTCCGGGAGAAATGGCGACCCGTTTCGTGGCAGCAAAATGATGAATATGAACAAGAATTTTACAAATGTATGGAAATTAAATAAAATCGATTTGAAATTATACTTAAAGTCGATACTATGCAATTTGTCATATGCCCTACGGAATAACGGTTTCATTTTGAGCAAAAATTTTATTATTGGTCTTAGCAAAATATATTCTTTTTTTCCCCAACTGTTTTCGTCTTATCTGATCAACGGATTTGTTCAGTATGTAAAATTTTGGAATGACAAATGTGGAGAGGATAAATTTGTGCACAAAAATTTTGAACAGGTGATGGAAGTTTTTTCGAGTTTTTTTACCAGGTGTAGATTAACGTACGACCAGTTTAAGGAAATTATTGATTTGTTGTTTGGTATATTTAGCCGCACGCAGAAGGGGAGTACCATTTCTCTTCCCCATTTGGACGAGTTAAACGGGTTGAGGAACAGTGGAAAATCGGGCAACGGCGCGTGGAATCGGGAAAATAATTCTGCAACTAATACTGAGGGAGTGTCGATCATTCCTCACACCATCGCGGAAGTGAATGGGGTTGGTCATTCCGTTTACGTAAGCATGAATAAAAATGTAGTGATAAGCACAAATGGAATTGTGTACAATGAAAGTTCCCCTGTGGCGAAGGGCAAGAACGAATTTGGTACAAATGTCCCTGGCGTGGAAGTGCTCGGGCGAGGGAACAACACGAGCATTAATAATGTCGGCAGTGGATCGAATGAGAAGGTGAACAATGGGACGATGAACAATGAGACAAATTTATCGAACCAAAAGAAGATACTTGAATATTTCATAACGAATTGCAGTAACAATGAGAACAGCCAAATGAACACTTTATGCATGCGTACGTTGACTTTGCTCTGCTCCAACAATCACGAACACGCGATGAAGTACTTTATCCAGCAGAGGCATAACCAGAAGGTGTTTTCCCATTTTGTTTCCACGCTAAGGGTTAAAAATCAAGTGGGGTTTAGAAAATACATTTGTAAGAAAATTCCCGTCCTTGTTAATATTCTGTTAAGATTTATTTGCGATTTTAAGCCGAATGAGTTTCCGCTGCGTGTGTTTAGCACATATCTTTTTAGTGTCAACGATGAGGATTTACGGGAAGTAATTTTGTACGATTGCTCTAGGATGAAAGAATATGCCGATAGAAATATTGACAGCAATTTCAGGGAATATACGTCCCCACATTTAATGAGGGGCGAACCCATTGGGGAAGGAACAAATGGAGATGCTCAAAGTGGGAAGTACAACCAAGGAAGTCAGCTAAGGTCCATCCCAATTATAAACGTCAGTAATTTTCTTGTGAACCTTTTCAGCGTTATAAACGTTCTGCATGCGGTACTGTTGTATGAACCATCGTGGTTATTTCTCAATTTTTACGAGGACCGAGTTCGGAAGAATATACCGAGCCTAATCGAGGTTTTGTACTTGTGTTTAATCCATTTGATTAGTCAGTATTTGTCATTGGAGAACACTAATTTTTTAACCTTTTTACTGAGCCGAGAATGCAAAAAGTGCGTTAAGATATTGATTCTGTTTTTTAATTTTTCCCGTGATTTGCTCAGGTGCGTAGTGCTAGACTGTGTTCCGCAGCAAAATGGTGTGACGCCTAGCAAAGAGCGTACAACGTTAGTGTCGAGCAAGAACGGCACCAGGGATGACATCCTATACAACAGTATGAAGTATAATAGTTACCTGTTTTTCCTGAGAACCAATTTGCTCATCATACTGGCGTTCATCGTATGTACAAATAGGGATGAAGATTACAGCTATTTGCACACGTTTTTTAAGAGGTGTACAAAGAAAGGATTGCGATTTAGGGAAAAACGATTTTTATTTTTTACAATCGTGCGTATTTTGCATAATTTTGACGCACCCATTTTGGGCCCATTTTTTGAAACCGCCTTACGGTTTTTTATCGTGCCTGTACTGAAGGAATATATCAAGAGAGCCCAAAAGGTGAGGCACATCTCCTTATCGGACGAAAAAAGTGAATCAAACTGTAGTACCTCTGATACAGGAATAATCAGTAGATTACAGCGCAATAGACTCCTCATGAGTGTACACGCGAAGTTGTTCACGCAAGCGGACACGAATCAGATTAGCCGAAGTGAGAAAAGCAATTCATTGAGAACTGATCACAGTTGTAGGAGTAGTTTCTTTAACGCTAATTGGTACTATAACACAAATGGGGGAGTTTCAGCCATCTACAATAATGTCAGGGCAGGGAACAATTACGATTACACGGGGGACGCAGGCTATTGGAGAGATCAAACTGGTGCATATGCCGCGAATAGCAATGCGTACGTTAATTTGGCGAGGAATAACATATGGGCATCGGCGTTCATTAGAAAACCACAGAATTGCACGTTTGTACATAATTTAAATGACAACAGTTGTTCAGGTAACGCAAATAATGAGTACTGTTTGTTCTATATGTCGATTCATGGCGAAAGGCAGAATGTGCAGCTTTATCCTTTTTACAACCACAGTTTGTTTCTTAGTATAAATGAAATTCTTTACGCGCTTAAGGCCCTACTAGGAAGGGGAGCTCATTCGAAAGATGTCATCATACACAAGTTGAGCATTAGCAGAATGGTTGTACAACTGGTCAGAAGGATAAAATGCGAGAAAAGCAAAATGATAATGCTGAGCTATGTAAGAAGGTTTAACAAAGCGTATCTGAATTTTCCCTGTGATGATGTAAAGCAGTTAAGCATTCGCAACATTATCAACGCGTGTAAGTGTAGCCGTAATGCCTATTTCAACGATTTGAACCATTTGACGCTGATTTATCCGCATTTGCTTTATTACTGTAAGACTGAAGAAAATGTTCTAATGAAATTAAATTTAAAGGCGCTAACAGAAATAATATCCAAGAGGAGAGAACATGGAAAGTATTCCAGCAAGGGGGATATTTTACTTCGCCAAATAAAAAGAAGCCACGTGCATTGCTATTACTGTAAGGTTTATAGTGCAAAACGGGTCGTGAAAGATAATAGGAAACGAAGCCTTTGTTACCCCCATGCGGATAGCTTCATTAGCAAATTAGCCATGAGTACACAAAATAGCAGACATCTGTTCTACAAGAATGGGCATATAAAAAATTACACCTTATTGAACCATAGAGGGATCATTCTGGGCTATCTTAAAAAGGACAAAACTGTGTTTAATAAAATCCACATTTTAGAAGTTGCATTGGGTCACAAGTACGATTTTTTTAATGTATACCCCTATGTGATAGCCTCAATTTTTAAGAATTTCGAAGAAATGACTAGTCGTGTATATATCAATGGGAAGAAGAAATCCCTTTTGATTCGCGCCTTAAGTGTTGCACTGACATTTATAAAGTTCAATATTTTCTGCAACTCCGTTCATAAGTTGTTTAGTTTGGTAAATAATGACCTAGTTCTCAGGGAAATTGATCCCCTAGCAATGCACGACTTGCAGGTGTGGAACAAATCGCAGGAGCGGAACAAGACGGGAGTACCTAATGGAGAGAATATACACAATGGAAAAAGTGATCCTCCACCATTACGCGAATTGCGAGCTAAACAAAAGGTCCCTAGTGTAAAAAAGGCGAAGCGTGATGTGATCGAACAAAACGTGAACATTGGGCAAAAATCGAGAAACCGGAAGAGAGAAGCTATCACTGAGCGTGACAGTGGATGCATTTCTGTACACATACGGGAGGGGAAGAAACAAATTGGTAATAACAAGGGGGTTGTAGCTCTCCAGGGGGATTATGTCCCAAAGGAAAAATCGCCCGGAAAACTGTCCAAGATGATGAAAGCCATGTTAAACTATTACGTAAAAACTGGAAACGATGACGAGAAAAGGCACCTCTTCCTCATCGGCCTTGTGAACGTAGTTAAGAAGTACAATCGGATATACGTTAACTACAGCATATTAAATGTACTAACAAATTTAATTATTTCGAGCCTCATGCAACGTGGGGATGAACTACAAAGAGCCAACATGACGAATAAAATTTTGAGCATTCTTGAAAATATACTGAGAATTAAGAATAGTGTAAAGATAAAATATGTAGATGTGTACAAAACGCTCATCTGTTTTTATTCTATAAATTGCACTACCAGGGAGTATATCAGGAGGAGAAAAGGAAAGGGTGGAACTAACCACGAAATGTGTGATGATGGTATGTTACAGAATTTACTTCACAATATTATTACCTTGGAAATGCAGAGCAAGAGAAGCCAAAATGGCGAAGTAGCTGTGCGTAATTTCAGTGCACGATCCAGTCATTCCAACGAAGGAGCAGTTGCAAATGAGGACGGTGGTGGGACGGAAGATCAGGTAAGTGCCTTTTCCTGCACAAACCAATGGACATACAGTTTTACGAATAATTCTGAAGAGAGAGAATCCTTTAGTGGATTTTCAAAAAAGGAAAAATTGCCCAATGACAGTTTTGTCGATGATACTTTCAGCAGAAATGAAAGGTGTTCTATTGCGAAAAATTTGCAAACGAATTATTTAAACGAAGAGACCCTAACCATTGCCCCCAATAGTTTCAAGGGTACGGATAAGAACGGAAAGGATATTGCTGACAAGTCGAAGATGGTTAGCACTTTGAAGAATGCTCTACTGAATGAGATGGGAATAGGCAATGCGAGAAAAATGTATATGGTGAATGGCAACTTTTCCACTGAGGAGAAGCATGCAGAACAAATTAGCAACGCGTACGAAATGATAAATAAGGGATATGGTATGACCGTGGTGAAGACAATTTATAGGGTTTTAAAAGTTCTGATGAAGTATTCGAATAGGAAAAGCATTTGCAAAAATTTGCACATTCTATGTTGCATCTTCTTTTTATTACTCAATTTTGATAACAAGAGGGTGGAAAGGGCCACTTTATTATTAATAAATCACATCGTAATAACTCACAGTCTGTTCGTGGACAATTTTCGCAGCATAATCAATAGAAGTACCCCCCAAGGGAGGAAGAAGGGCGATCCGAGTGAACCTAGCCAAACAGGTGTTAATCTGGGAACACATGACACGAAGAAAGATCCACATTTCATGTTTAATAACCAATTTGAAAGGGAACAAGATGTCACCGGTAAAATTCAATTTTTGCATGAAATGTTGATTAATCTATGCCTTAGGGGCATGGACGCGTATAGGAAGAACAACAGGACGTATTATATTGATAACACGCTCTACGTAGAGGCAAAATTAGAAACGAGTCTCAACATATTTACATTCTTCTGTCAGATTTATGATAGAAATGGAAGGAATCAGTACGCACAGTTGATTAGGTTTTTCATTTTGGAATACCTAAAGAGGTTGAGATGCATCGCTTGTTACTGTTTGAGGAAGAAGAGAAGAATGGTTACCCTGAAGCAGTTGCTTTTTTTAATAAACACGAATCTGCATTTAGTAGATAAGAAGGAAGCTATACACTTCTTGGAAACCATGCAGTCGTTACTTCTGTTGGAGTCCAAAGATGGTTCCAGTTTTCATTTATTCATTTTGAATATGAGTGAGTATCATTTATCGGATGTGCACAAACCTTTGGAAGGAGCGATGGACAATTTTTGCGCAGACGTGATGTCCGACCGTTCTACTTGCCCGTCACACATAGAGGAAGAAGAGAAGGAGCACAGAATTAAGCAAAAGGCGCAAGTGGAAGAAATAATAAAAGAACTGAGTGATAAAAAGATGAGCAGTTTTCATATCAGCCACTATATCAAGTATATAAATAGTGTGCACGATGGAGCAGGCACATGGCATTATGTGCACAATTATAGAATAGCGAGCAGATACTGTCTTTCCAAGGACAGGATAATATATGAAAGGAGAAGAAAAAACTTCATGAGGAGCAAAATCTGTCGTGATAACATGAACCATAGAGAGATGATCAACGATCTGTATGCACGTTTGTTCTGTAGGGGGGGTGGTAACAACTGTGCGGTTGTTTCTCATTTAAACAGAAATGTGCAGGTACGAGATGTTCAAGGGGGGGCTAAAAATGGTGTACAAGATGGTGAAAAAAATGATCAAAAAAATGATCAAAAAAATTACAACAAAACGGCGGTTGCAAACCAAGTTGTCAGCCCCCATGTGAAGGGGATCACAAAACTGAAGAAGGAAAAGAGAAGAAAACGATTTTACAAAAGATTGAAATGTTATGATGACATCTTTGAGGCGTACACCATTGAGGAAAATCTATGTAATGATTTATTTTTGTGCAAAAAGGAGAAGAAGCTGAAGACGTTCTTGTGGTCGTGCAGGAAAAATGAAAACGTAGGCATATGCCTATCTTCGGAAGAGAAGGCACATTTAATTAGAAACTTAATCATCTTTGATTATTCGGATGACTATCACTGTTATGTAAAATATTACGACATATTACTGTACTTTATTAAAAGTCAAAAGGAAACGTATTCTGAGAGGTACCACATTATCGATTTGAAGAATATTTTTTTAAGGCACCTACTGCCGAACATTTTAAGGGGGACTTTTTCGTTTATTCCGAAAGTTAGATACACCTGTACGAACCTTTTTCAGAAATATTTTCTCCCCAACGAGCTGTTTGAGTCCATTTGTTTTTTATTTAAGAACGACTATTTTAAGCATATCATTGATAAGTATTTCGTGAGCCTATTTTTAAATTTGCTATTTTCGTTCTTTAAGCACAACGTGGATACGTATGTGTACTTGAAGAAGCGAACGCAAGGCTTAGTGCCCTTTTTGTGCAAGCGGAAGTGGGAGAACGGGGGAGCCGCTACTAATGGAAGGGTTACTGATGGAAGTGTTAGTGATGAAGCGATTACTGAGGGAGCTGTTACTGATGGACTGGTTTGTGCAAACGCGGCGAGGCAAACATGTGAGAAAACGAAGAAAAAAAAAAAATGTTTCAAGGCAAGGGAGACGTGCTCGGCTATCAACATGGAAAATTACAACAGCGATTTCTTCACGTGGAGACGCTACTTAACCAAATACTGCTCCGAACAGCAAACTTTCGTGAACAAGTGCCAAAAAAAGTTCATAAAAGCCAAATATTTATTTAAACCAATTTTGAGTTTGATAAATATTTTTAAGGAATACTGTAGATCGGTGTGGATAGACCTGTTTGCGCAATTGTTCAATTATTTTAATAGCGAACAAATTAATGAATTAAATTTTTGCATTGTTCAATTCTTGTACAACTATATCACCTTCATTGAAGCATCTTCTAATAATGATAAGATGTGCATGTCGAGAGAGGCGAATGACAGAGGCGCCTCTACCTTTGGCAGCAGTTGGAGGAAAAACAGAACTTTTCAAAATAATGTGTATGGAAATGACTATAACGTGAACGTGCTAGAAACTACCTTGACGTGCATATTTAAGACCCGCATTATACTGTACGTTCCCACGGAAATAATTTTATACTGCGCGAAGAACTTTTGTACGTATGAAATTTCCAAGTGTATGCTACAAATGTTGTTGTTTCATAATTTGAGGAAAATGAAGAAGTTGGCTAGTCGCGGCGAAGTAGAAAATGCAGCCCCGATTGAGGACACCAATGAGAAGCAGGCAACAGGTGCAAACACATTCGGCACTCAGAAACCAAGCAGGAATAAAAATAAGAAGCAAAGCGAAAGTACAACTGTTAATAACGGCGGAGTCCCAAATGACCGAGTGCAGAACAGATTGACCATTGGCGCTAAAAATGAGGACCCCGTTTACGCAATGAAAAAAAGTTACAACAGCTACAAGCAAATCATCAACTGTTTAATCGAGATAAATAGCGACTTGAATGAACGTGACAATGTGTACGCCCTGAGGACATATTATGTGAGGAACATTGAATTATCCAAGTCTCTCTTTTTTAACCATTACAATTTGTACTACAAAAATGAATATTCCTATTTGAAGCATTTTACTAGCTATGAAAATCTGAACTTAACAAAAGAAGAATTAGATATTAACAGAATGAATTGGATCGACAGTTTGAAATATTTTAGTAAAGTATCTTGTATCGAGAGCTACATGAAATTAATGCAGTTGAGGGAGGAAATGAAAAAGAATGGAGACTCCAAGTCATCCCAGTTGAAAACCTGCGTATCGTTGTCAGAGGAAAGAAAAGAAGATCCAATTGTGCTCAGTTGCAACTACGAAACATTGAGCAGGAACTACTTAACAAATTTGAATAATGTGTACTGTATAATAAAGGACAATTTGAAATGTATCCACGTGCAGGATAACGTGGGAAGGAACATCGCGAAAATCAGCAGTGAAGTTAAAGGTGATGGGGTGAACCCGGTATGTGCGGCGGGAGAACCCCTGAAGGAAGAGTCCCACAAGGGCCAAAGTGCGGGAAGTGCCCATAATCGCGATAGCGGCACTACAGCGGTTGTAACTGCGAAGAACAATATGGCGCCTTTGAAAAAAGACAATGTCAACTCGAGAAGATCGCGAAGAAGAAAAACCAACAGCCTAATTAGGTTAAAGTTTAACAAATCGGAAGACGCGAAAATACAAACAACCATTCACGATTACTTTAAGAGCAATAAGAAAACCTTATCAGAGAACCAGGAGGGGGGAACGCACATTGAAGGGTATAACAAGGAGGGAGAGAATGTGGCTAAGCAGACGAGTGAAAAATGCCCGAGTTGCGGGGAGAACGCACACGATGGCAAAAGCAGACCTAGTAGCAGGACAGACATAATAAGTGATAGCAAAATGAATAGTATTACCAGTGGGCGTAACAAGTGTGACGGGGCCATCGATCCTAATGACGCCCACAGCACCAGTGAGAATATCCGAAATGATAACTACGGCGCCCGTTACGACGGTGGTTTCGGCGGTTTCGGCGGCGAAGGGGACGGTAATATTGCCCATTTGTTGAAACGTTTAAGTCGTTCCGATGAGGGGGACCACACAAGGACCATCGTGCATTCCTACTTGGAAAAAATAATCTACAAGTTACAAGAAAATAGCAACACAATTGTTGAGAGCATGCAGGGGAGCGAAATCATCGAAATTGACGAGGCATTCGTTGAAAGGAACGTTGAAAGGAACGTCGAAAGGAACGTCGAAAAGAATATCGAAAAAAACGTCGAAGGGAATGTCGAAAAGAATATCGAAAAAAACGTCGAAGGGAATGTCGAAAAGAGTCTTGAAAAGAATGTCCAAAGGAATGTCCAACAAAGCGAAGAAGCGAAGGTGGGAGCAAGCGCAGATCCAGGAGCGAATGCGTTCGGAGAGATAGTGTCGGAAGAAGGAAACGCATTGAGTGAGTGTAAACATTTTGTGAGCAACGTGAATGACCAATGTAGTGCATTCCTTATGAAAAAGTTCAAATTCGATTTGAAGAGCAAACACATAAGAACAGTTAAAGAAAACATAGATGATGGTATGAATCTGCTAATTAACAAAGTGAGGCAAATGTGCAATTATAAGAACAACAATTTGACCCTTCTATTTGCACACGCGGAACTGTTTGAACATGCGCAAACGAGCATAGAAATAATAAGGGAGAACTCGCTAAAAAAGAAAGCAACACAGAAGGAAGAAAATGAATTGCAGCTGATATGCCTATTGCATAATCTATTTATGATGTGCAACAAGGACACTTCTGTGTACGTTTATGATGACATCCACAATATGAAATATTCCTACCGGTGGAAGCTTCTGTTTTTAAAAATCTGTAAAATTTTTATGGATAAATGTGGTTTGTTCCCCTTTTCCAACGTTGGTTGTACCGAAAAGTGGAGTGGGAAGTGTAAAAACTATCACTTATTAAATTTGATGAAGAAGATGAGAGAGATGAACAGTATGTCGTACAATTATTTTGACAAGCTTTATGAGAATTTTGTGCACAAAGGTGGTAGTAACGGAATAAACATGAGCAGTAGCAGTGGAAATAGCATTAGCAACTATGGTAGTAAAAGGGGTGACAGAGTGCTGGATGCCAGATGCAGCTACATGTATAACATCGAAATCATAAAAATGAATTTAAAGAAATTAATCAACAGTAATATTTCAAATAATGGCTATAATATAACACATAACATGCTGGAGAAGTACAACGGTATCGTCTGTGATGAAACCGAATTGTGCAGAAAGAGAAACTACTATAAGAGGGAGAATAAGGCAACCATATCCCATGAAGACAATTATCTATACATTCGAAATATGGAGTACGAATATTTCAACATATGTATTAATTTGCGAAAGTTGGGGAAGAATACCTTTCTTCACAAAGTTGTAAAGAAGCTCAAGTGCTACATTAACTCACTTAATCTTATTAACACATTTGACTTTGACTCCCTGCCAATGGTCAGCTATGAGAAATTTCGATGTGAGTTTTTCTATCTAAAGGGAAAGATTCTGTGCAACTTGAATAAAATTATTTTATTTTTGTATAGAAATAATTTTATTGAGAAGAATTCCAAGCTGAACTGTGACAGATGCAGGTATATGTGCCAGGATATCGCAAGGGAAAATGAATCAGACTATGCGCAGATCAGTAATGATATAGTTTGCCCAGGACTGGGTACCCCTCAGAGGACGGAGGAAGAAAAAAGTCTGAACATTCCCAGCGCTGTTGTTAGTAACAATGATGGATGCAGCCGGAGTCACACAGGGGATAACAAAAAAAAGAAAAAGAGAAAAAAAGGTACAGGTGCTGCCAACGAAACGTCCAACCCATTGCAGGAAGAAATATTCCACAGTAGCATTGATGAGGAAAATAACGAAAAAACCGTCGATGATAAAACTTTCAAAAGGAAGAAAAGAAGTAAAGTCATCAAAGAAGCTAGCGAAACCACAGAAGATAGTGAAAAAAAGAGCGTACTACAATCCAATGGCGAAAGTCCTTTACAGGAGAAGGAGATAGATAGCCAAATCGAACTGAGCGACTGCAGAGAATCGAATAAGGAGGAGAAAAAGATAGCGAAAAAGGGAGATATAAAAAGGCAACAGACGAAAAGCAACGGCGAGTACACCTACAAATGTGACCACAAAAAGTGCTACCTATTCGATGGAAATTTAATTGAGGAGTGCTTTCTCTCTTCCCTCAAGATATATCCACTGGAAAACAATTCTTGGGTGCTGTGGGGTGACTACTGCAAGAAAGCTTTTAAGGAGAAAAAAAACATATCATTCTGCTTAAGCTCCATAATTTCCTATTTGATATACTCCAGCCTGAATACACACGAGGGGTACTACCACCTAAGCAGCGTCCTCTATTTGCTAAGCTCTGATATGAAGGATAATTCCATTATGCAAGTTTTTAACAAATACAATGAGAATATATGTCCCAACCTCTGGCTGTTCTATCTGCCCATCTTAATGAACAATATAAGTGTGAACAAGGACAATTATTTGTATTTTCACAAAATTTTGTATGTCCTTATGCGGAAATTCCCCCAAGATGTGTTTTACCATGTTAGAGCGCTGCAAATTGAGAGAAATGATATGCTGTACTATCTGCAGGAGCGTAGGAACAAGAAAAAAGGCATGGGTGCAAATTCCTCTTTAATGAAAAATAACGTAAATATAGTGAAAGATCCCGATGGGGGAAGGAACAATCAGAAAAAATTTAAAATGGAGGATATAATACTTCTCTGTGATGACGCGAAGCAGAGTAATGGGCACAACATAAGAGGGTATGGTTCTAAGGGGGGCAGTGACCCATCGGGGATAGGCACTATAGCTGGTGAGAATGGAAGCCGTGAGTTCTACATGTTTGGTGGAGCTGACGCTGGGGGGAACACTCCCAGTGGGGACAGAAGCGATTATACAAGTGATAACCGAAGTAATAATCGAAGTAGGAACCCAAGTGGGAAAAAAAATATCAATCAAAGAAACGAGCGCAGTGGACAGGAAGCGGCCTCCAATGTCAGGATGCGCGTAAGGCGTAAAACCGAAAAGGAGAACGGAAAGAGCTGCAAGGGGGCTGATCAAAGGGTCGACAGGGAGGCTGCCCCTACTGCCGTAAATTCTCCCGCTGCGGAAAAGGAAAAAGGGTACAATTACGCAGACCTATTTACGGATGGCTTTGACCAATTGATGAACGGGTTTAAGAGCAAACATGTGGATGTATATTTTTCCCTGAATTATATGTGCAATGAAATTTTGAATTACACCCGATTGAATCCACATGAAGAGACGTACAACATGGTGGAAAAGTTACTAGATCGATGCATGGAATTCCCCTACACACAGACACACGTATCGACGTTTATTCAGAACATGACAGAGAAGTATATTTTGTACAAGCGATATAAAGCTAAGGTGAAGAAAAGTTACACAAATAGTCGAAGGAGCAAAATAGCTATTCACAATATGAATCTCTTTTGGAAGGAATTTAAAAAGGATGTAAAAATGTTAAAGAGTAATGTACGTGTGAGGAGAGGAACCACGATGAGCGTACGTACCAAGGAACGGGGAAACATCAAATCGCATATAATCAACATCTGCACAGGAGGAGAACAAAACAGAGGAGACATGGTAACGCCCCATGGTGGTGAACTAAGTAAGGGCGGTCGTAAGGATAACTACTTCTCCTTGGAAGAATTTCCTCAAATTGCCAAAAAATGGAAAGACCTACTCTTTTTCATTATTCATTCGTTAAATGAAAATCAGGGGCTGGATTATTTTTCCCATTCCTTGTTTGATATGTTTTCCAATTTTCACCTAAAAATAGAATTTCCAGGTCGTAGGGTAAAATACATAGGGGAGCATTTAAACTACCTGTACAATTTAAATTTATATTGCCCTACGCACATTGTCAAGTTGAACCAGCCCATAATTCCCACAGTTCTAAATAACCACTGCATGAAGAGGATTAGCTTCCTAAGCAGCGATGGAAATATTCAGCATTACACTGTGCAGCCTTGTAATTCTATTCGCAGCAAGTCAGAACATAAGTTTACGCTGTTTCAAATTCTGATGAATAACACCATGTTTAAGTTTTCCGAAACGAAGAAGAGGGGGCTGTCCTATGGAATAAATATACATACCCCCCTGCACCCCAGTTTTAGATTAAAGGATGAGACGCTTGAGGACATTTCGCTGAAGGATTTGTATAATGATTACACGCTGCTGACGAAAAATGATAATTATTCGCTAGATAATATACTACTACATCATAGAAATCTTATCACGAATTCAATACGGACATTTTTGCTTAAGAAAGTCGAATGTGTCGTGAGAGAGAAGGAGATAACGATGAAGGAAAGAAAAAAAAGCATGAACAGTTTTCCCGATAAAAGGAATGAAAAAAAGGGAGCTATTCTTGTGAAGAAAGCCAAGAGTGAAGAAATTCCGAGAATAAAAACCGCAGGAAGTATCGTAAAGAATACCATCCTGAAAAGGAACTCTTGTCATATTTTCGTGAATGCAAAAAAAAGTGCCAGTAACTCCAGTTCCTCTAACACTGTTAAAAATGTGGAAAGAATCACCTGCAAGATGCAAATGGATTATTACAATGCCTTATCGTATGAAGAACTAATCCACAACTTTAGAACCAAGGAATGGTTTAGGAAGTCCTTCAAAAAATGGGTGAGAAAAATTGTAAAATTACACTTTAAAGATATCTGTAAAATGGTGCCAAAAAATATAATGAAGAATTACTTCTATTCTCTGAACAACAATTTAGAAAGTTACTACCTTATGAATAACCAATTTGTTAAGAGCTACTCTCTGACGTGTATGTTAAATTATGTTTTTTTTCAACAAAATTCCTCCCTAGATACAATTATGTTGTCCAGGTGCTCAGGCAGAAGTATGTATTTGGAAGGGAAACCCTCCTATATGGATCTGCCTCAATATTATGCTAAGAAAAAAGACGCGCAGAAGAGGGGGGTACCGTTCAGACTCACGCGAAACATTCAGCAGTTTATTGGGTTCCAAGGCCTACGGGGTGCCTTCCCATCCAATTTTTACGTATCAATAATGGCTCTAAAGAAAAACATGAACTATCTAAGAGACTTTTTAAATCTTACAACTTTGGATGATTTTTATTCTCTATATGTTTATGGGGAAAATAGAAAAATCCTGCAAAAGAAAGAAAAGAGTTTAAATGATGAGAAAGTTAAGCATGCTTATGTGAAATCCTTCCATGTGGACGATGCGACAACAGAAATTATCATAAAGGATGCGGAGGACCATGTAAGGAATGTATGGTATCGAGTTCGCTGCTTATATAAAAACAGATTAGACAAGAGGACGAACGTTTCTCTGTCAAACGCGGATGAATGCAAAAAGGAGAGCAATGTTCCCAAGGCATTTGAGTACTACTCAGATTTGCAGGATATCTCGTTATCCGAATTGTCCTCAGATGACGACCTTCAGAAAGCGAACAATAATGAGGATAAGAACGCACAAAATGCCAAAAGAACTAATGCAAATGCGAAAAGGAAAAGAAGCGAAACACCCACCAAGCTGCAGAAGGTAGCGGGTAGTAGCAAAATATGTAAGAGTAGGAGGAGTCCTATGAAGAAGGAACGAACGGAGGGGGACAATAATGTGTGCGATAGGGGAGATCCCCTACTCAGTGAAGCGAACATCGCGGATCAGAAGTCACCCAACAAGGGGCGCCCCACCATGGGGGAGGAGGCAACTGGCGAGGCGAAGAATACTGGGGACACTGAAAGGAGTGGGAATAATGACAGTAATGTGAGTAATGTCAGGAATGTAACTAATATAAATAAAGTAAATGATGTAAGTGATGTAAATGACGTAAATGATGTAAATGACGTAAATGATGTAAATATCGCCACTAAGACGAACAGTACCGCTACCCCCAGCAATGACAACAATAATAAGAAAAGACGAAGGAGCAAGAAGAAACCAAGTGGCGACCCCAAGGAAGAACAATCGGAGCCGAACCAGGCACAGCCGCCGATGGAGCAAAAAACACTGGAAGATAACGCTACCAATAAAAAGAGCAAGAAAAATAAAACGAGTCCTTCCAAATGTAAGAATAACAAAACACAGGAGGGAGAGGAGGAAAATGTTACGAAAAATGTTACCAAAAATGTTACGAAGAATACAACCCTCGATAATGGGCGAGACCAAAATGCGGAGTCAAGATGTACTGCAAACATTTTGCAAAAGGAACAAAGTGCAATGCTTAGGGAAAACGGGGAGACACACATAGATGAATCACACAACTCTGTGATAGATTTAATGGAAATCTCTATGAGTAAAAAGTATTTAAGAACCGCGAATGGCCCCTGGTTCCCGTGGTTCTAAATGGGTACCTCGCGGGAATTCCCCCTACTTGTGTGTAGGGACATATATTAGTAGAACCAGTTGGCGAATAGCAAAATGAATGACATGGAAATAATCGAGGAGGAACTGCGGTCCGGCCCCTTCTCCTTTTCGCCATGCATCTACTCGTTTCTGTGACTTTTTTACCCATAAAGAAGTGCCCTTGTATGTACATGACTTCGCACGTGTGTTTATGGCGAAACCTTTACTATGTGTAGGAAACTCCTTTTTAAGCAAAATAATCCAACATGTTGAATAACGTCATTGGAGGACAAAAGGCTAATTTAAGGAAGTGCAAAAGGGGGGATATCAAACGGGGGAGAACTTTTCGGTTAGGGGTCAGTGAGAAAAAAAGAAAGAAAGAAAGAAAGAGAAAACAAGCAAAATAAAGAGAGAAAATATAACGAATTATAACTTCGTAAAAGGGTGCAGAATGAGATTGCAAAGACGTTGAAAGGAACGGGCAACTTACGAAGATAGGTTAATCACGGAGGTGTGCCCAAATTTTAAAACATAATCGGGTAAAATGTTTCACATAATGAAGTAAAACAATTCGTTAAGCAAATTTTGAATGTGCACTTGCTGGTATTACCATTTCACTTCTGATCGTACATGGCGTAAAAAAGTGAATTAAAGTGGGCGTCCTGTTTTTTCTTTATTACGCGTGCGGTGTTGTACAACTTGAGAAGTGTCAAATTGCTGAGGCAAAAGGAATTGTTCAAATTTTTTATGACTTGGTGATATTTATTTTGCTGCAAATATGCCATATGTTTCCAATAAATGGATTTAACATTTTCTGGATTTATAGTGGCAGCGTTTTCTGCATACTTAACACATTCATTGTAGTTTCCTAATTTGTAGTGAGAAATGGCCAAATTAGTTAGTATCTTTTCGGCGTGTAGTACGAGCTCCTTCGCCATGTCATCACTGTCTAAATTTGACACATTTATTTTCTTTTCCTCAAAAATTAAACTGTAAATTTTGGAAAAGCGAAATATATCAAAGCCTTTTATGTAATGAAGTGAGGCTGCATAGTGCAAATTTTTTTTCATAAATGTATTGCCCATTTTGTTGTAAATTTTTAGGTACTCAATTTGTTCTGAGATGTTCATATTCCACGGGTCTTTCTTTTTACAAATAAGTTTAACAATTTTTATTTTTAAAATGGTATCTTTTTCGTAAAATGATTTGTCAAAGTATACGCTTTTTAGGGCTTTTCTAAAGAATGAAAAATTATCCATTTTTTGTCCTTTGTGTTCATCCTCTTTTGAGATACTCTCGTTGGAAGAGCTAACTTCGTAAAGTTGTTTACTCAGCTGATGCTTCATCCTGGTAAGTTTTTCACTTTTTTGAATGTTGGCTACACTTTTGTAAAATTTCTTCCGCCTGACTTTTTGGAAGGAGCTACAATGAAAAGGCAATTTTGGCGATTCCTCCTCATGGTGAGTTCTATTGATCAGGGACGTTTGCGACGAAAGAAAACCTTCACAGAAGCGATCCACTTGGTTTTTCTTCAAGCCATCTATCAGAAAGAAGCCTTTGCCCCTGTTTCGGTTGGAAATCAGGCGCTGGACAAATTTTCGGTCCTCCATTTTGGACCATTTCCTCCCCGAATGGTTCTTTTTTGTTATGTGGTGACTGTCATTTGGGGTGGACTCTTTTTGGTCGTTCCTTACACCATTGTTCCTTTGGATATCATCTTCAACTTCACGTTTGCCGCCTTGCGGGGGTTGTACTCGTTCCCCTTGAGCCGCCTCCTCAAAAATTAAAGGGTAAGCGAACTGATTCTCCGAAAAAATATTCCTATTTTTGGACAAAGGAATGATTACTTCATCGCCCTCCTTTAGCCCTTTGAAGCATTCATAAAACCAAAGAGGAGCCGTGAAGCATGAACCGTACGAAAAAAGGAAAAATGCCTTTCGTTTTTTAATATTGCCATTGTTCTTCCAGAAATGAACCGGCAAATGCATTCTTTTGCTTTCCCTTCTGTTCTTATCATTATTGATACTTAAATGGATTATCAACTCGCAATCGGTGTCAATAATTGGTTTGTTTGGGGTTTTATCTTTACCATCATCGGACAAGTAAAACAGTAGCTTTCCTGTGTCGTTTAGATTGATAATTGAAAAAAGATTAACCCGTTTGGACTTTTTAAAGTCCAGTAGCTCTATAATTATTTCTTTCTTCTGCTTGGGTAATTCGTCTCTGATATGGAGATCGACATTCTTTTCCTCTTCTATCTCACCAGGATTTTGTTTCACTTGATTCGTTTCAAAGTTGGACAACTTTGTCTCGTCCACGATGCCCTTCTGCTTCTCATCGTGGCAGAAGTCCCTTCTACCCTTCTGCATGTCGTCTGGATTTTTTTCGGGGCCATTCGGCTCCTCTTTTTCCGTGTGTGTTTTTTGCGCGAAGTGGTATATGTGGAGACATTCCAAACCTTTAAGAACAATTTTGGACATTTCTTTTTTTTTCATATTTTGCAAAATTTTGAAGAGCCCTCTGTATTTTAAATTATGTTCCTCCAAGGTGGTGTGAATAAACTCGCGCTTCTTTCCATCTTGTATAAAAAAATCAATGTAATCATTTTTTTTGGGGGTAAAAATTCCTTTCCCTTCTCGCATGACTTCCTTTATTATAGTCCTGTCATGATTTAGAATGTCGACTCGTTTATATTCTTTCAAGTACACAACGTATGTGCTCAGTTCGTCCTCTTTTAAAAATTTATACCTTACATTGTTAATATCGTCTAAGGTCAACGATTCTGAGCAGTTGTGTGGGTCTTCTCCTTTGAGTTCTTCATCTGGTGTGTCTTTTTGTGCCACATCGTGGTTTCCATCCCGGTTAGCCTTGTTTAATTTCCTTTTTCGCACTAGCAATTTTATATCGTTTGAACTTAATTTTATTCTTTTCAAGGTTGCCACGATGGAATAGCTTATGTACTTTTCGACGCACTTCTGTTTAAATCTTAGGGCCTTTTTAAACTCCCTCCTGAAGTTTTCCTTCCTATCATACTTGCTCTTCCGTTCAGAGTTACTAAATGTTTCTGCAGTAGTTAGGTGTGAGTGTGTGTTTGTCTGTGTGCCAAAACGTGCTGCATATATTTGGAACGTGTTTGTTTACACGTTTTCCACGTGTGGATGTGTCTGTTTGTTTATTTGTGGGGTGGGATAATTACTTGTAAAAAGCGTTGGGGCCTGAATGATAGAGACCTCATTTGGCTTCATACACTTTACAGCAATTTCGCAAATATAGGGTAGTTTGTCTGAGAAAAGGTGGGGGGGGGGTCAAAAAAATGGAAGAACTCCATGTTTACGAGGTACACCACATAGTTTGTGATGTGTGAAATGTGCAAAGCTAAATGGTAAAGCATCTACAGAGATGGGGAAACATATGAAATTTAAATTGTGTAACCGTTCTTTCCTAAATACACGTTAGCACTAGCGATTTTGTCCTCGGAACCTAGTTCGTAGTATATTACTAATAAAGGGGGTGGTGGGAAAGAAAAGAAAAAAAATCATGTTCGCATTTCTTGTTGGTTATCCATCTCTTGCATTGTTCCATTCGCTTTGCTATTAATGTTGTCACATTTTAACGTTTTTCCTTTTACTTTTTACTTTGTGTCCATTTCCGGGACTGTAGTAGCCCTTAAAAAAGGAAAAAAGAACATTTTCAAATTTGGTAGTGGTTTGAAGTTACGCACATACGTGCCGAGAAAATTTGATTTAAATGATTGCCCACTCAGGATGGGAAAACAAATGTGCACTCTACGAACGTACAATAAAAACAAAATGAACAAAGAACTGAACTAAGCAATTATACCTCCCCCAACTGCTTGATAATTTTAAACGAAAAGGTGTCTTCGCTTATCGCATAGACATCGTTAAGGTACTCGCAGGGCGCTTCATCATCGCTGTTAAAATTGTAGGCTTAAAAAGAGGGAAATAGAAAAGTGCATAATTTTTACGCGTGGGTCAACAGATGCACATTTGGGAATCTGCGGATGAATGTTTAATCCAGAGCGTGTACTATCGCGCGTGTCATTTTTTGAGAGAATTACTTGGGGCTTCCGAATCGGTAATCATTTTTCATATATTGTAAAATTTTACAGAAAGGAAGGTTATAAAAATGAGATTATAAGGCTCAATATTTTTCATTTTTTCTGAATGTTTACAGGAAAGTCGTAAGAATGTGAGGGGAGTTGAAATTTTACTAAAAAACTATACACGCAGACAACTGGTTTTTCCAAAGGGGAAGAAATTGTGTAAAAAAAAAAAAAAAGGAAAACAATAATAGGGACCACGCAACTGTTCATAGGTATAATTTTATTACAAAAAAGGCATTATGCGTAAGGCTAGGCAGATTTACAGAATGGAATACTGTAAAGTAAAAAAGGAAACTGACGAAATGGTTGAAAAGGTGCGTGCCTTAGCGTTCGGCACATTTAGCAAAAACCCTGCTATGTTAGCAATTTGCGGTAGCCACAATAGGCATTTTTTAAAGCATCTTAAATAAAAAGGCTTAGCAGTGGGCAAAGTGAAATATAAAGAAAAATGGGAAGCAAAACAGATGCAATTTTTAAACGTATACGTGTATACAATTTTGTAAAAGCAGTTCGAAAAAAAAAAACTAAAAACGAATGAACGAATGTCAAAAGAAAAGAAAAATAGTAGCGCAAAAAAAAAAGGAAAAAATTAACAAAAAGGTTTTAATTACATGCACACAGGAAAGTGAGCAGGATGGGATTTCTATAATGGCAATCTTAGAAGCAGAAACAGAAAAACAGAAAAAAAAGGGAGTGAACTCCTATTCAATAGGCATTTCTTCGGAATCACCGCTACACATTCATGCAGATCATTTTAAGCAATTTCTGAATTTGAAACAAATGAATTTTTTCGCAGTCATTTCCTTTGTTTCCCCGATGTGGTGCTTTTTCAGTGCACCAACTCATCTGTGTCTGTGTGTCTATGCTTCTGCTGATGCGTTATTTTGTAAAAAATGTTAAATGACGTAGAATTAAGGTGTGTGCAAAAGAATACTAAATTTGTGGCGAACGACTGGCAAATCTTTACAGATTAGTTGGCTAATACTGACCAACTGTGACGCGTTTAATCCTTTTTCTCAATCGGCTGCAACTTTTAATGTTTAAGTTTACGCTGAATGGTGAAGTGCTCTATCAACCTTTGAGGAACTCTTCATGACGGAATGGCATTGAAGATAATTCGGAATCTCCCAATTTGTCTTCTTCAATTTATTAATATATTGCTATACTTATGTGTTCAGTTCGATTATGAGCAGCTTGTAAATATTTTTAAAAAGTGTAGCAAAGATTTCCCACGTTGGGGTGGCGATCTGCAATGTGAGAAAAATGGACACACTTGCACTTGCCCTTTTGTTTACTTTATTTTACTTTATTTTATTTATTTTTTTTTTCCCTGTTATTCCTTTTCATCAACCCTAATTATTTGCGAAACCAAGGGCTTCGACTCCAATTCTAAGTTTTTCCTCTTCGCCTTCACGAAAATTCTGGCAAAGGACCTGTTTTGGGCTTCCAGCTGAGTAGCGAGAAAAAAACGTATTAAATCAGCTAACGAAATGGCAAATATGTTCTACATACGATTAAAACATTAGGAACACGTAACCGATTTCAAACATAGCGGAAAAATAATGTATAGTTAAATTATTGTATGTTAGGGGAAAAGGTCAAATGTGTGCAGCCAAACAGGGAGGCACATAAACAAGTATGACGCGACTACATGCATATGTATGCACACAGCAAACAGAAGTAGATTTTCCGTTTTTGAAAAAATTACCGGAGAAGAGGCATCATAATTTTTGCTAAACTTTTTGTACACTTCATTGTTTAAATAGAAGATATTCCTATCATAGGCCTTGTTGGTAATGTAGAGAAACAGCCCACTGAAGGCAAGGAGCGAGAGCGTTATATACTTAGTCTGCTTCTGAGTTCTGTTTTGGAAATATCTGTATACGACTTTTTTCGTGTTTTTTTTATTGTAAATGTTAAATTCGCTGAAAAAGTTGTTACTGTGTTTATCGCTTGTCATTTTTCATATGTGTGCATAATTTCTTCGTGGTTTTGTGTTTGGTAGTTGTCTGTTTCGGGTTTAGGTTTAGGGTTTAGGTTTAGGGTTTAGGTTTAGGGTTTAGGTTTAGGGTTCAGGGTTTGTTAATTTCGTCTTTGCTTCGCTTCCCTGTGTATGCGTCTTAGTTGGGCTTTTCAAATCTGTTTCTGTAGAGGCATATCGTCTCTTGTGGAACTATTTCTTCGATATATGCAATTGCAACACGGATAGGTATATTTTGGATTTACGGTGTTATGCACTTCGTCACCTTTTACACCTCAGTTGTCCGCAAAAAGAAGGACGAAGAAGACGAGAAGAATGGCATCATAAAACTTGTGGACTAAACAAGGAGAACGATGGACCTGAGATATATGTCTTTCATTTTTAACAAAGTGTTCCCTGTGGTTTTTACGATGGTTTTGTTCGTTTATTTTTACAAAAAATTAATGCAATGATCGATCCAACGATTTTAACAAAGCCAAAAAAAGTATAAGAAAAAAATTATACAAATACACTGCAGGTAGGGGGGCTTCCTATATTCTCATCTTTTTCAGGAGACTTCGCTATTGGCATATATAGTATTTTTTACCCGTTAAAAAAAGGAACGAGTTAGTTCCTATGTACGATGTTTCTTATATTCACACAACGGGAGAAAGAAATACCTACAAAAGAATGGCGAGTTTGTTATTTTTATTTTTCTTGTTTTCTTTTAATTTATCGCCTGAGCGCTCCATCTAAGAAGGTAAAATTAAACTTTTCTGCCCACTTAAAATTGCCAGGCGTAAAATTTCTACGCTTATAAATGCGCGGCTTTTCCTCTGAATCATGGTTACGCCTCTTGCATGTTGATTTTTCCGTCTGTGGGGGGAGTTTCTTAACCGTTTTTAGAAATAAAATAACATAAATTTTGAAACTTATCGATTTTTATTTTATGTAATCTTTTTGAGTCACCATGGGTTGTACACAGATTAGTAGGAGCTGCACCTTTTAAATTGAGGGGGAACTTCCTTCACATTTGGGACGGTGCGTAGGCCCCTTGTGCACAACGAATAATGAGATGAACACGGGTATGTGGCAAGATGTACGTGCGCGTAGTGTATATAGCGTATGATGGAGCGTGCCACGAAGAGTACAACTACGCTACAAGCATTAACCCCCGTCAAGTTACAACTCCTTTCATTATACTGATTAAATGATGATTCGCCCGCATCATACATTTTTACAGGCCGACATGTTCAGTATAAAAGAAATGTATGCATCCATAAGTGGCAACAACTGCGTACATTTCTAAGATATGCATAGGGGTATTCATTTTTTCATACAGTTATACGTGATTATGTACTTGGTTAATCTTTCTTTGTAAAAGTAAGAAAAAACGTTACGTTCCTGTTTGTTTCCCATTTCGTAGCGATTTTGTTCATGCTGCTTAAACAATTTGCTAAATTCTCTTCCAATCTGTGTGCTTTTTCGTGCGAATACTTCGAATGTTTGTTTATTCGAACGAGTTCTTTATTTTTGTTCATTATCCGTGTATGTATAAAGATTGTATAATAAACGTTTGTTTTAATCTCGCACCATTTCAGGAAAGCGCTACCTTTTTTTTTTAAACACGTATGTGCAAATATACATAGTACCAACTTGTATGCCTAAACGATTTGTTCGAAAGAAAAAAAAAATTTTTTCATCCTTTTTTTTTCATTTTCAAAATTGCTGGCATATTTTACACTTGCTTTTGTTTAGCGCGAATATCTCATATGGCATTATGCCCAATTTTTTAATAAAGAATGCAACACTTTTTTCCATTTTACAGGATTATTACATTTTATTTCGATTTAATTCGTGCACATAGTATGAACAAGTTGTTTACATCTTTAAGGTTTCTTTTTTCTTTTTTTTCAAATTTCAATGTTTACACCTAATAGTACCTACTCCTTTGTACTCTCAATCGTGAGCTCCGTATTTCCCCCTTTTTTAATGTGTTCTTGCAGAATTCGTTTATTTGGAGAATTGTATATCTTACAATTTCGTCGTGGAGTAAAAATAAGAAAAATTTAAAAAGTTATCAATTTGGAAAGTTGGGGGAAATTAAAAAGGATATGTTTTTATTTTTCACGAGCTAGAATTTAAGACACCTTAAATGAACCTAGACAAAAATTCATACAAATTTAAATGCACCTCCTGTTTGATTTTAGTTTTAACTGTACACACTTATCCATTTATACGTGTACAAGTGTTCGCGCGCTCATGTATGTATGTGTGCATTTGTGTATGCGAGCATTTGTGAATGTGTGGACATGTATATGAGTCTCCACATAGGTAGCATACTTTGCCACCTTTTTGGCCTCATTCATGGGCATACCTAATTTGACGCCTCCTGTTTTTTTTTCTTCCTTTGTGCGCTTTACCTTTGCTGCGTTTCTGGAGAAACGGAAAATTGCAGATCAGGAAAAAGCAAATAAAGTTACACTTCTGTGCATACGTTTGTACTGCTGTGTGTGACTATTTTGAGAAAAATAGAATTATGAAAATAGATCGTTCTAAAATATCAAGATCCATTGTAGAAGGCAAATTTTACGAACATTTTTTACCCATTTGTGAAGTAGTGATTTTTCGTTTTTTTTTATCATTAAAAGAACGGGCATTCCTTCTGTGCATGCGCATATTTTTAGAGAAAATGACGTTTTTACACTTTATAAGTGAGACCAAGGGAGGGAAAGGAATTCACCATTAGATGTAAAGCAATTGCCTGAAGTGTTTTCCTTCACTCTATTTGGCTTGCGTTTCATCTCCTTCGTTGATTTCGCGTGGTTATTTGTTTTTCTATTTACTTCCCTTCGTTTCCTTTTTTTTTTTTTTTTGTTTTTTTTTTCGTTTTCACTTCGGCCTCCGTTTGGAAGTCCATATTTGACAGAGCCACAAGACAGAACTCATTTGTAGATGCAATTGCAAAAGCAACGTTTCGGGGTCAAAATGCTCTATCTAAGATTGTTTAATGACGAAAAATCAGTCAAAAAGAAAAATCGGATTTTTTTAAATTTTTTCATAAAAATAAAAATTTTCATTTTGTGCATAATTTTTTTTCTGCTGTTGAGAAATGAAGACAATGTGGGAAAAATAAGTGAGAGACTCCCCAGGGAAGATATGTTCCCCGTGGGGTTCTCTCCTCTGGCAAGGGACGAAAAAAACGGTTATTTGAAAATAAGGAAAGTGAGACAAAACGAAAGAGAGAATATAAGTTTTTCAAGTGAATCACGTGTCAATATTAGCACTACCCATGATGATCGATCCCGTTTAAACGTGTTTGAAGATGTATACAACCTTTTTTGCAGAGAAAATTTTATTAATGAGAAGTATTTCCTGCTGTTTTGGTGTTTTGGTAAGAAGGGGACTTACAAGCGAAGGGGACACATTTCCAGAATTCTGCTCGAAAGGATGAAAAAGAATGCGTCTTATGAAAATGGAAAGGGATCGGAAAATACAACATTTAGTGTGGACGGGGGCGAAAGCGAAAGTGAGAACGAAGATGACGAACCTAAGAATCAGCTTCCGTCTGCGTCGAATGAGGTATCCGAAGGAATGATTTTCTTCTGTTTTATCTTCATCTCCGCGACTATGCTGCAATTTATCCTTTCCAAAATACACAGACTGAACATCCCTGTGTCAGTAATATGGTTTTTATATGGAATGTGTACCTACGTAATAGCAAAAAATTTTAACATGTTTGAAGAGAATACTTTGCATAAGTCTATCATCAACGCGAGGAACATCGATTCATCCGTTCTTTACTTCATTCTGTTGCCAATTTTGCTATATGAAGCCACGCAGGACATCAATTATTACGCCTTTAAGAATTTTCTATATGGTGGAATAGGACTAGCAGTGATAGGGGTAGCACTACAAGTAGGCATACTGGGTATTTTGTTTTATTATTCCTTCATGTATAGGCAAGACCAGTCCCCCCTAAGTAGCAGTTTTTTGTTGGCCTCCATCTTATCATCAACCGATCCCGTGGCAGTGCTGTCGATTTTGTCAGTAGTGGATGCTCCATCAAAAATAAGTTCCATGTTTCATGTGGAGTCGTTAATAAATGATGGAAGTTCTGTCTTACTATTTCAGTTTTTTTTTTATTTAACTATCGGGTATAAGGCCAATACATCTCAGTACCTGATTCTGTTTGTTAAGTTATTATTTTTAAGCCCCATATTTGGCATAGGCATGGCTATGTTGACATTTGCCTGGATAAATTTGTATAGAAAATATTACTACAATCAGTGTCTGGCGACGATAACTATGTGTTACTTGAGTTACTTTGTATCTGAGTATTATTTTAACTTGTCGGGCCCGCTAGCAATCGTTTGTTATGGTTTATTTATTAACGCGTATGGCCATATTGCCCTGGACGAAGTGGCACAGAGAAAGCACAAAGAAATTGTGGAGCTTCTCTCCCTCATGGGAAACTCGAGCATTTTCATCATATCAGGAATAGTCTCGTTTGGGATGATGGAGAATGTTTTCAAGGACAACTTGTACTTTTTCCTATACATTGTATTGACATATATTTATTTAGTGTTGGCAAGGTCCATAATGATTCTGATATTTAAACCTTTTTTGTCAAGAATTGGATATCCTATAAATTGGAAGGAAATATTACTCCTAATTTGGGGAGGACTACGAGGCGGTATTGTACTGGTACTAGGGTTACGGATAGAAGCAGAAAATAAAATTAACGACAAACTGACGAAGGAGTTGGCTTACTACATTAGTGGTAGTGTATTGCTAATACTGACCATTCAGGGTTTGACTTTTGAGTGTCTGTACAAACTGTTAAATATTTATCCGCCGAATCCCTTTAGAATTGTTTACCTAGAGAAGGTACTAAAAATGATTGATTACAATTTTTATATTAGGAAGAAGAGCTTAAAAAATTATTGGCTGTTTAAAGGCACCAACATTCTTCACTTTTCCAACAAAATTGTCCCCGAATTGTACTGGAGGAAAATGAACAAATATGGAGAGTTCGATTTGAGGTTGCCGGATATTTATGCTTGTCTACAGGATATAAGCTCGTGCGATATTTCATTTTGGGAACGTGCTTACGATTCGCAGACAGTGATCGAAAGCTTCGATGGCGTTTCTTCGAATGGCAATGGCAGCTTTCCCAACAAGAACGAGAATAAGATAAGCCCAAGCAGGGGAAAAAAAAGTGATAATAATAGTAATAATAATAATTCGGCTCATTCCTCCAGCAATAGGAGGATTCTACAAAAAAATGAACTGTCCAGTATTACAGATAATGACGCCGAGAATGAGAGAGGCACGTCGAACAACAGGAATGTGCACATTCATAGAGGAAGAGAAAATCCAAGTTCCATAAAGAAAAAAAAAAGTATATACGATGAGGTGAAATGGAAAAACAGTAATTTTACGGACATAGAATATGAAGATAACAGTGATGAATACAGCTACATAAATAACGATGACAATAATAGCAAGAAGAAAAAAAAAAGAGAAAAAATAAAAGTGAGAAACAATACCAGCAGAAGGGATCGAGTAGGGGAATTCATCTCCAGAGGAAAAACTAGCTTTGATAATTTTCCGTACAAAAGAGAAATGAAAATAAATATCATTCGAAATAATGACAACTACTTCAGTAGTAACGATGAAGACGAACATAATTACACAAGTATAAACTACTCACTGTCATCCAAAAATTTCGATAAGCTCAGTAACCATCTGAATGAGCTCTCCGATAACGAATCATGCTACACAGATAAGGTTTGTGAAAACAGTAAAATAAAAAGTTTGAATGCTTTTAACTATGACAAGATTTCCATAAAAACGTATGACCGCCTTATAAACAAAATGAATTACCGAGAATTCAAAAGAACCAGAAGGGAGAAAGAAAACTTTACTGTCATCGATAGTATCGTTGATAACAACAACGAGAAGGAGACGTTCAATCCCAAATACAATTTGAGGCTAATCGAGCACGCTACCCATTTACCCAAAACTTTTAGTGACAATTTGCTCGTTAAGAGCAATATGAAAAATGAGAAAGGCAGTAATGGAGACGCGAAGAGTGGTGCCCCAGATTCTAGCGAGAATGAAAAGAGGAATAAAAAAAACATTCCAAATTCTTTGCACGAGCAAGCTTCGGTGAAGGAGGACGACCTGGGCAAAGAAATCGACTCGGTGAAAGAAGCCGAGGTTGGAAAAGACCGAGACGGAGAAAAACAATACGTGCAGCAGGACAGCAGCCCTGGGGAGGAGCACCTCATGAAAAATATAAACTACGATAATATCACGAAGAAGGATGAAAATTTGCTAAACAACTACAAAGATGTGAAAAGGATCCCAGAGGGGACTAATGAGAACACACTCGGGCTACCTAATGCAGACCAAGCAGAAAACGAGTTGCTGATGAGCGACAATTTTATTATAAAAATTCAGAAGGAAATATCGAATGAATGCGAAGAGGATCAGGAGAATGAGAGTCTAAAGGGCGAAAGGGGAGAAGGCCACGAAAATGATTTAGAAGAAAAAGATGATGAAGCAGAAGAGCAAGGAGGAGGAAGCCTGAAAAACTGCATCACATGTGTGACAAATGAACAGAGTAACGTGGTGGATGATATCATAAATTATGTCGGGGGTGAAAAAAAAAATAACGAACCTAATTTTGAGGAATACTTAACATATAAAAATCTGTTCGCTCTGAATAGCGATGGGATGAAAATATCGTCCTTCTTTAACAACAACTATGATAAGGAAAGCTATCTAAAGAATAGGGTGAGAAACCCATCGGAGATTAACATTTCCACCAAGGGAACTGACAGCAGAACTTTGATGTTAATGAACAAAGAAATTGAGAAAAGGAAAAAGATGAAAAATACTAATAAATCGAGGTGCACCTCATGCACACGTGTGCTTGATTTCACCGTACGTCCGCTAATAAAAAGGGATAGTAATCGGAGCGCTTTAAAGGTGAAGGGCAGTAAAGGCGGAAGACGTGAAAGAGGCTATAACCATAATTGCGATAATGCTGACAATGAAGAATTTCGCTGTGGAGATTGCCAAAATGTGGAGATAAATCAAAATTACTCCAACAGCAATGCAGGAGATGATAACATTGTCAGTAATAATAACAACAGTAATGACGATTTCATCGAGGGAAAAAAGGGAATGCCAAAAGTGCAACGAAACAGCACGACGGACTTCATTGCAAGGAGGTATGACACAGATCAAACGATAAATTTCGAATGTATAGAAGATGTGTGTCAGAAGAAACATGTTGCTACTTTTTACAGCTTTTTAAAAAGACCCAAAATGAAAATAAAAAATAAATTATTCAGCGAAATAAGAAGGGCAAGAAGCCACGAAAGTTACAGTAATAGTAAAGATAAGTCCGGGAAGTCCAAGGATGATGTTTTTTACAGCTCACTCAAAAAAAAAATTGTTCGAAAAGAAAGAGAAGGGGAACTGTACATCATGATATTTAATACTTGCAGGGAATTATATAAAAAGTTGTACGTAAACGGCTTCATCTCGGGGGAATGTCTATTAACACTTACGTCGATTCTAGATCTGTCTGCCGATTTTGCCTTGAAGAAGGTACGAATGAACCCAATTAAAGCATGGGCCGATGCTTTTGATAAGGGAAAAAACAAAAGTAGCAGCAAAAGAAGGAGAAGTATTGACCACAGAAATGGGTTTGAATACGAATTTAACGTCCTGTTATCAAAATTAAAAATTAATACAAGGCGTTCATTTTTCTTCTCGCCCAAGGTGGTAAATATATTTCTTGTGTATGAACACTGCATGAAGGACCTTCAGATTATTCTCTCCTATGTTGACGTTCACCAGTGCACACTGGATAAGGGGGGAATTACTATGAAGTTACTGCTGGGGAAAAACTTGCTCAGAAGCTACTACCGAAATATAGAGCTCGCCAAGAGCCTCATACCGCACATGGTTAAGAAGTACAAGGACGTGGTGAAGTACTGCCTCATTAAGATAGGCGCGGACATGCTCATGCATTTGAAGAAGACGGTAATTAAGAGCGGTGTGATGAGCGAGTGGGCTCATCGCAGTGAGCGGCGGTGCTTGCGGAGACGTCCCCATAGCTTTGGGCGTGATACTGCATCGGTTTTAGCATAATCTTGGTGCTATTTTAGCGCTATTTTCCGCGTAGATGGAATGCTCACCCGATGTTTACGCGCGTCTTCCGCCTCTTTATTATGGGGCGACCTGTGCCGCGCCACGCATGTGTTCATCATTTGCGTTGATTTTCATATGTGCCATTACTCGCTTAACGGAGTAGCCCCATTCTAAATCGCTTCGAACGGATTATACATGTATCATTCACCTGCCTCCTTACAGATTGTTAATGAGCAAGCTGCGAACGGATTGTTACTAACCCAGGACAACGAAAAATTGAATGGCATTTTCTATGAGCAGCAAATCAAAATTAATAGATACAGGCCATATTTGCATTATTTTTTAAAAAAGAACATGTTTAAGATGATTATTAAGTAGCGAGAAGGTTGCTTTGCGTTTTGGAAATGCTTTGAAGTGGGGAATCATCCCAGAGGGAAGTCCTCCTAATCTTTTATTAGTTTGCCCCTTTATTCGTCATCACTTTATTCTTTCTGGGGGGGGACATTGCAGAATTCATCTTTCACCTTGTGTGCTGCGGCATAGCAGAATGTCCAACGGAGAAGACACTACATTTATTAGGACATATGCATATGTACTGTGTACATTTCCACGGCTGCTACGATTTCTAAGACGTAGGTACAAGAACGGGTGATGCAAGCGAAGGAGATGAAGATGGCGTCAGGTGGCTAGAGATGTGTATATATAAAATGGTCACGCTGTGTGAATACATTATTCAGTTCGTTTCTTTTTCATCTTTCCATTTTTCTTGTGCTTCATTCTACTTATACTTATGAATGATGTATTTACCGTCCGCATTTTATATAAAGCTTATTTGAAAGTGCAATGTTTACACCCGATCCTTTCCGTCCCCTTATAACATGCATGCGTATGTGTGTACATTATGCACGAACGTGTGTGATTCGTATTCACGCAATTATTCTTAAGAGCAGACGTTACCTTTTCTGTTCGACTGTTTTTTTTTTTTTTTTTTTTTTTTTTTTTGCTTTGTGGCAATTTTAACAAATGTTGAAAACAATAAATTCTTTTTTGTATTTTTTTTTTTTAAGGTTACGCGTTTTTTATTTATATTATTAACAATCCTTTTTGCTCATTCACATTTTAATGTATCTTTAGCATTTTAACTGTGTGCTTTATTGATATGGCTAACTGCTGCTATACATTTTCCCTTTTTAATTGGGTGAGGTTTAAATACACACCTTGTTTTTTTGCGTTATTGGGATACGCCGCAGGGTTGTCGTGACGCCCATTCTATGCCACTATTGAGTGGTATAAGGTAATATAGAAATTCAAAAATAATAAAAGGCAATTTACTACATGCGTAACGAGTTTTTATTCGTTATGGCGCTTGAGCACCTATTTTTGGGTTTCTTTGGGTACATTTTGAAGGCAAATTCTGAGGGCATTTTTGAGGGCATTTTTGAGGGCATTTTTGAGGGCATCTTTATCCTCGCCTTTCTATGCGTACGTAACGTTAACCGGTGAATGCCTCTATAAAATTGGGTGTGCTCCTTTTTGCAAAATAAATTGCGAAGGGTGAGAATTGTGGAGGGGAAAAAAAATAACCAAAGGGGAGAAGTTAACAACAATAGGGGCGTTGCGCCAATCAAAGTTGCAACGAAAAAATTGTAACAAAACATGTGTGACAAACGAAAAAAAAAAAATTATCCCAACTCACACCGATGCTTTTAGCAATGCCTGGTGGACATTCTCAAGAATTTTTACGAAAATCTACGTTTGTTTCTTAGGTACAGTTACGTATACATCTACAAATATGGATAATCCTATTGTAGAAGTCTCATAAGCCTCTACCACAATTCTGTTGAAAAATAGGCATAGCATTTACTAAGCGCACAAAAACAAGGATTAACAAAAAAGCTGATGACCTTTTCGTGCACAGTTTAATAAGTGACAATGGTCCCAATTTTGCTACTTAAAAAAATATATGTTTTTTTTTGTAACAACGTATTTACGCCATGTGCGTGATTTATAAACAACAATTTAGTTTCATTTTCACATATTTTCTTTTTCTTAAAAAAAAAAAAAGAAGTTACTTAAACTTAAGCGTTTACTTTTACTATGTGGAAGGCGGGATTATACCTTTCATTAATTTGTACTTTTTTCTTATGTCGTTTTTTTTTTTTTCTTTCCATATTTGATAAATTTTCATTTTAAAAAATTTACGTTTTCCTTGGTATAATTGCGAATACATACAGACATACGAAGACATATATGCGTTCCATATGTTAGTTTATTTCTTTACTCGTTTTCCCAATTTCATATTTGCACATTTTTATGTGGAACGCTTACCCCGTTTGCTGCCTACCTTTTTTGTGCCAACGAGCTTATGGAGACAGTTACGTAAGAGGTGCGCGATGTTGAACAGGAATTATTTGTAAGCGATGCGTTTAGAATAAAATGTGAAAATACGCATCAGCAGCACCTTCCTTTTCATTTGGCACACCTAGCTAGGTACAACTGGATGCGTGTGCACATGTGCATTACTTGCTTACATGTGATAACACATATGTGTTGCGCAAACAATGTGCGCATAATGTAGTGCCGCGTATTACTATTTCATTCCTTTCCGAAGCGGATGCGGCCATAGGGATATATGCATTACCTATGTACACATATGTACACGTATATTATATAACCATGGGGATACTGCACGTGTACGTGAGTAAATGCCCGTGCGAGCTTATTAACGTACGAACGTAGCTTATCCATTGGGCCCCTGTTTCTGCATTTTTCACAGAATGCGTGAATAAAGAGAGGCCCCATGCTTGGTGTTAATTTATTTAAGCTTTTACCCATCTTATGAATTTCTTTATTTTGTTCTTTGTGTCCACTGTCGAATGACCTTCAAAAACGCTGGAGCACAATTTACGAGTGCACAGGCGGGATTATGAATGACATACAATGAAATGGAAGGGCGGTAAAAAAAGGAAGAAATTGGAGCGGTGGAAAAGGAGCCATTGGACGAAGGATTAACTGACGTGCACAGGATGTCCCTGTGTAATTATTATCAAGTTTGTCCAAGCGATAGTTCATAGGTGTACGCATAAAGTCATATGTGCTTGTACGCATACGTGCGCCCACTTATGTATGTACTTGTATATATTACTTACGTTCGTCCCCGCATACGCATCGGTTAATGCAGTAGAGGGGCCCCAGGAAATTTACCACGAATTGATTGTGGAAGTTCACAGATAAGCGCGCAAAGTACGCACGTAAGTTGGTATATATAAATATATATGTACATACGTACATTTCACATACATAAGGGGCACTGCTTTGTGATCACTTCAAAGGGTATATGGTGGTGAACCCCATTATGTTAATGCAAAATCATTTTCAGAGTACCTTCCATTTTGTAATGATATCATTTAAAATGATGTAAAATATTCGATGTAAAAGGCAAGAGCACGGCAAATATATATAGGAAACAGAAGGAATAAAAAACAGTACCCACATAAGCGGATGAGATCAATTGAAATACGTACGATGCGTACAAATAATTACAATACTTACATGATTTTGTATGATAAATGTTCATATGTACGTTCGCATATGACATACATTGTTTTGTATAAGAATATTATATACTTATTATTATGTATGTATTTGCCTACATACCAAAATTACCTTTGTTTTGAATTGTGACGAAATGGAAAAAAAAAAGAAAAAGGGATAAAATAAAGTTCATAATTGTTGAAATGTAGAATGGTAAATTGCCCAACCAAGGGCGAAACAATATTCTTTTAAAATTAACATACTTTTTTATCCGTTTAAAAAAAAGAAAAAAAGGAAACGAAAAAAGTATCTAAAGAATATAGCATAATATATAGCATTACATAGTGTACTGTACCAACGGGGAAAGCAGATAAAATAAAATTATTAAGCACTTAGGCGAAAGAAAAGAAAGCAGCAGTGGTCATAATTATACACTGGATAGCGTAAAATGCGTACATGTAAATATATAAAAAAATTTTGCATTTTATGTCAATTTAGCAAAAAAATTAAAAAAAAACAAAAAATCCCTATGGAATAGGAATTATACATGTTGAATGAATATAGAAATATTACCATCATTGCACATACAAGGATATACAAACATATACATATATATACTTATTTATAATGCATATTATGATATACCCACGTTCGTAAATGCAAACCCATTTTCCGTGATTAAAAGAGCATTTTATGTTTATATGCATAATTACGCATGAATATACAAGTTGATGAATGAGAAGTTAACCAAATTAAATTCATTTGTTTCGAGGAGATGAAGGAACAAAATGAAAACAAAAGGGAAACAAAGCGAAATGAAATGTAAAAGTACGTATTATACATGTTTAACATAAAAGCATATAAAACAAGCGGGAAAATAAAAAGGAACAAGCAAGAGAACGAGGAAGAGAATACGAAATATTACAATCAGGGAAGGAGTATAGCGCGAGAGCAAACGTAAGGGGAAGCCATCGAGCAAGGGGAAGGAGCGGAAGAAGCAAACGTTTAAACGAGCGATCAAGCGGGGGAAGCAAACGAATCTGCTTAGAGAATCACTGCCCAAAAATAGCATAACCCAATTTGTTCCTGTTTTTTATTCCCTTTTTTTCTTTTTTTATACAAAAAGAAAAAACGTAAAGAGTTAATGTCCCCGTTATAAATAAAATGAAAATACTCCTATCATCAGATGAAGTTAACTTTATTGTTTATCGCTATTTAGTAGAGAACGGATTTATCCATGCTGCCTACGCTTTTTTTAATGAAGCAAATTTATCCAAGAATTCGTACTATATAAGTCATGATGGAAAGCTGCCATGCCATGCTCTGGTAACCTTTATGCAGAAGGCACTGGTATTTATATTTATAGAGTACCATACCGAATGTAACAATGCGAGAATTTCCTGTAAGGAACCCTTTTCCCTTTTTAGAAGACATGAATGTTGTCCTGACGAGAAGGATTTAGCTGAGGAACAGGAAAACAAAATAGAAATTCGGGAGAATGAGAAAAGCACGAGCAATAATTTAAACATATGCACCTCGTGTAGAAAACCTTTTGGCAATAATAATATCATTAAAAGTTATTTGCCCAACTCTTTCAGCTGTAGTGACTTGAATAGTGATCCTTGCATTAACAATGTTAATGACAATGGCCCCAGTGGTGCTAATGCTAAGAATAACCCTGTTAGCAAGGGAGATGGGGGTAAAGCTGACAATGAGGAGGAAAACGGGAAAGCCAACCAGGATAGCAACAAAACTGTTAATCAGGTTAGTAACGGGAATGGTAAAAACGCAAATAACGACATTATCCATAAAACAAATGATAGTGATGGAGCCAAGGCGAAAACGAACTCGAAGGGCAGCATTTACAAGAGCAGCTTTTCAAACTTTGCCTCGTTAAACTATAACGACAGCAATATATCTTTTAAGGATATCAAGAGGAATTACGCGAACATTTTCGCGCAAGGAAAAAAGTCCAAGAAAAGCTCTTCAAGTAATAAGAATAATAACAGTAACAGCAGCGGCAGTAATAATGTCAGTAACAGCAAGAGTGAGGCTTCCAGCGGCAATAACAACAATGTCGGGGGAAGTAATAAAAAAAAGGATACCATCGTTAGTAGCAGTAAGAACAGCAGTGGAAAAAATAACGTGAGTAGCAATAACAGAGAGGAGAAGGAATCCAACATGAAGGACGAACCGGATGATATCAGCAGTAGTGGCAATCAACGTAGGTCGTCCAAAATTATGAAAATTGTAAGTAAATCCAGTAAGGCGAATGAAGCTGAGAACGGCAAATGTAACAACATCAGTGATAGCATCCTTTCTGATGATAAAAGAAAAGATAATAACCACGTATCCAATATGAAGAAGGATAAGCTGGAGCCTACTAAGCACAATACTGCAAAGAAATACCATAACTTAAATAACAACATGAAAAAGAATAATGCAAACACATCAAGTGGAAAAGGAACAAGTTTGAGCAATAATAACAAAAATAGCAATGGGAAGAAAAAGGAGTTAAATGGTGGGAACGCAGGTCAAAATAGCAATTCATCAAATAAGAAAAAGAAAAAAATGAAAAAAAAGAAAAAAGAAAGTACACCCAGCAATTCAACAAATAATAGCAAGAAAACGATAAAAAATTCGCTAAAAAAAGACAAAAAAGAAAAGGGTAATAAGAGCATCACATCAAAACAGAAAAGAAGTAACAGACAGAACGAGGATAACGAGGACGATGAGGATGATGATGAAGTGTCTGATGAAAACTCAGAAGAGGATTCCGAATTTTCCAATGACAGTCAAGATTATAATAATAAAAACGTTTGCAAAGCCCCTTTGGAGGACAGTACCAATAATTCTGCGCAAACGAGGGATAATCCCTCAAGCAGTTCTATTAACAATAACGCGACAGTGGAGGATAAAACGAATGACTGTACGTATGTCAATTTTAAGAAGAGTAGAAATACGAATCTCATTTCGAATAGTTCTTCACAGAATTCTACTATCGATGGGGTTAAAAGTGAAATGAATAATTCGCATATAACGCATTACGATGGATGTCCTGATAATGCTTGTAATGGAAATATACAGGAAGAAGCATTAGCAAGCGAAAAATATTTGAATGGGAATCATTCAAAGGACGCAGCTATGCTAAAGGGAGAGTGTGAACCCCCCGAGATGGAAGCAAAAGAAGGGAATAACTCAAATAAAAATCAATTTAATTTCAGTTTTGCAAGTTTTTTGAATAAGAAAATAAGTTCTATTTTTAATGACAGCTGTGATAATCATGGCTTAAATGGGGACAATCATAATAAGGATAGCAATAACGAAAGTTGCAAGGGTAATAGCAACGACAGCACTGTGAAGGATGGCTCGAACAACGAACAGGTGCTGCCGCAGGATGCACAAGATCCTCCACCAAGTGAGGCCTACAAGAGCGTCAGCAGTAGTAAGGACCGGTACAACAAATTTAGCCAAAAGAGCAAGCTGATAAAGGATGAATATATCGAGGCTAAATACGAAAAGGAACATCTCCCAAGAGAACAAACGAACGGGACGGAAAAGACGGAAGAGGCAGCAGGGGAGGGCGGGGCACCTGCGAGGAAACAAAAAAGACTATACGATAACAGTAGTGCTATGAAAGTGGAAGGGGGAGGGGATTCACACCAAATGGAAGAACACGAAAATGATAAAATATGTGTAGAGGAAAAAAAAAGGAAGAAGTCTTCCATTTATGAAGAAAATTATAAAAACGAAATGAACAAAGAATTTTTTAAAAAACTAACGCAGACATCGCCAATTAAGGAGGATAACCAATCTAGAGCGAATGGTTCGGTTGATAGGAAGGAGGAAAAGGAAGATGAACTTAGTCGGGGAGTAGAACAACAGGGAGTGCATAGTGAATTGGGAAGAGCCGAAAGTCGTGACCTGCAACACCCTGGGGGATAATAGAAAAAAGGAATTGAATAAGGTAAAAAGAGGTGGACATAATAAAATATCGTTTAATAAATCTGGTAAGAATTATTATAGCAGAAGCCATAGTACTGCCAACCGGGATGACCACGAAGCGTGTGATAACATGGATAAAAATACTCCTGGGGAAGGGAATTATTTAAAAACAAACGAAAGAAAAAACACTACGGAGGTGAACACAGCGAGGGAGGTAGACGAAGAAAGGCGCAAAAAATGAATAGCATTTATGCTGCTTTGTGTGGAAGAAAAGAAAGTTGGACTGAAGAAAGTGATTATTAGTATATATGACGAATATAACGTTTTCCATTTGGTAATAAAAATCGAAAGGAGTTATAATAACAATCCTTTTGGTGAATAATTAAGAGAAAAACAAAAAAAAAACCATGGTGATATTTTATGCTGTTCCCGAAATGAACTGATAAGGAAAAAGAAAAAAAAGGAACCCCTCAGAAGAAAACTGATGTTTGATTAATTAAAAGACCTATATATATATTGGCTAGTATGTGTACTTCTCATATATATATATGCAGAATTTTTTTTTTTTTTGCCATCAGGCACTAAGATATTTTTTCTGTAAAAGCTCAACGTATTAAATTACAATATTATTATTCTGAAGAAATAACTAAAGAAATAATACTTTTTTACACAATCGGTTTTTATCATTTAAATTACCAGAATTTGCCATTTGAGAACTTTTCATTCCCTTATTTTATTTTATTTTTTTTTTAACAACCATTTGTATTTATTCAGAATTAAATATTACTGTAATGTGTTGAATGGAGACAAAGAAAATAATAATGAATCAAATAAAATCATCACGTATACATATCGTGCGAAATCGCAGAAGATATATGTATATAAATATATGTTAGGTCAAAAGCTATTAATTGTAATTAAAAGAGTATATTTATAACAGTAAAAAATAAATGTTAATTTCACTCCTCACTTTTTTTTTTTTTTTTTCTTTTTTTGTTTCATAAAAATGTATAAAGATGATAATGTAATATATTTTTTATACATATAACGACGTATCATGGTAAATATTAGAAGATTGTGCATTGTGTTTTTATTTCTATTTTTACAAAAAAATAAATGAAGCATATGGTTAATCATTTGATGTTTTTTCGCACATGGAGTAGAACTCTCGCAGGAGTAGGAAGAAGAAGAGAAAGGAAAAGATAAATAAGGAAAAGCAGAAAACGCAGAAAAAGAAGCGCTTTGTGAAGCAGAAAATGGGCTTTCAATCAGCTATGCAGAAAAGCTTGAGCAAAATTGTTTTACCGTTATTCGCAACTGTGGAGAAGGTTTCCTCCTTTTTTTTTGTTCTCATGATGTTGTAAAAAAAAAATAAAAAAAGAAGGATATATATTTTAGGGAGGCAAAGTATGCTTATTAAAATACAGAAGAGCCTATAATTTTCTCCAACTATTTGCTGCACCTATGTAACATTTTATAGCAAAAAATGAAGCAAAGGAGTGGGATAATAACTCCGAATAGAAGAACGATTATGTGGTAGCATGCGCAGCACATGATGCAGGATTTGCAGAAGATGCCCTAAAGCTTTCAATATACTATTTCAACGAAAGCGGTGCATTGGAGATTATGCTTCCAAGCTCATTTTTGCAAGTGAAAAAAAAAGAAGAAGAAGAGAAGCAACAACAACAAAGCAATGTGAACAAAATAACCAAAGGAGAGCGAATTAGCTGTTTAACATGGATGGATAACCCCAGCCCTCTTAAACATTACTACAACAACAAAAAAAAAAAATAAATAAACGAAATTGTATATCCTCTCGAATAATATATGGTCTTTGTTAAAATTAATAAGTAGAAATGCTCCTGCACTTTCTAATATTTTTTCAGCTATAAGGAGACAACTTACGCAGACTAGTATGTGCCACGTATTTAATCTAATATGTGTATATGTGAAATGTTTAATAATACTTGTTAATGTGCGCCTTTTTCTTAATTTTTTTTTTTTTAATAAGTTGTTAAATTCTAATCTGTTTCGTTCATTATTTTTTGATAACTGCATATCGCTTCCTTCCTTCCATCCTTTTTTTTTTTTAATGTCTGATAAAGTGAAAATGTTTTTCATTTTACATTTTTCCATTTTTCCTATTCTTCACATTGCATTACATGTAACTGGGTTTTCCCTCGCCCACACACCTTCGCGCTGAGAGTGTACATGTTCTTATGCATACATTTCCATGCGCGCCAAGGGACGCCTAGTCATATACACTTGTATAGCTGTTTGTAGGCCCTAGGCCCATTTCATATGCCTCATTTCTTTTAAAAACTTTCTCACTTATCAGTGAAAACAAATAGTTAATGCGAAACGCTAAAAAAAATTATGTAGCACACGTAGAGCGGGAGGTATGTATGTATTTAAATATATATATACGTATATGTATATTTTATGTGCCCTCCTTTCGTGGCTTCAAAATTGCTCGGCTAGCGCAGCTGTGTTAATTTCTTCCAAACGAAACAGGAAGGGATGCATGATACTTCAAAAAAATGGGGTGACGGGTGGGTTGCGCCGGGGAAGAGCCCATATGTGTGACACACGAACAGGTTAAGGGCGTTACTTCGGCAAGGAACCTAAAACAAAGTCGTGCTGTTCAATTACACTTTTCCGTTTTTCTTCGTACCGAGTTGCAGTTATACATTTTTGTGAAATAGCCTCTTCCTTGCATTTCAAGATAAGTATCCACGCCTCCGGTTGGCCCAAAAATAAGAGGTGCGGATTTTTCACGAGGTTTTCATTAATGTCGTGTTGGTAACCGCATATTTTATTTTTAACCATATACAGCTTATCTTTATAGAATATTTTTAAAATAGTCATATTTTCGTTGACAAAAAGAGCATTTTTTTTTCTCTTCCCGGATACGCAAGCATTTAGTAATCTTGGATCGTATTCTACTTTTACAGTGTCGTTAATTAATTGTATGAGGCTCCTAGAACTGTCAGCTTTTAAATCGCTTAAAATTGTAAAAAAAATGCTGCTGTACTTGCTTAGTGACAAGACAGACAGGCCATTTAGCTGTTTTGATATTTGAAGATCGCACTCATCGCCTATTATGTAAAAGTTTTCGCAAAATGCATCATCATAAAATGCGTAAGATTTATGTAATTCGTGAAGACTATCCTTTTTAAAAATAATTTGCTTATTGTTTTTTCCACATTTTAGGAGATTATTTAATTTTGCTACGATCTGTTCATCAGATACAGTAACATTGGACGATTTTAATTTTCTTAGTAGGCACTCTTCTTTTCTTTTCTTCTTCGATTTTTTGTGTGATATTTCTGAATTGTTAAAAACTAAAGCAAACGTTTCATCCTCCTTAAGGTTATCGCCCAAGTTGAGCAATTGCTCTTCTCTGAAGCTTATTTTGGCTAGGGAAAAATCTTTCGAGTCGTGTTGGCTTTGTTTAATTAGAAAATAATATTTGCTTGGTTTTTCCTGCCAGGTGTGCTCCAGCACTTTCTCCACAACAGTCTTGTAAATTTCCTCCGACTTGGGGCTGGGGCTAAGTGTGCACATTTTGTATTTTTTTCCTTTATGAGCGTGAAAGGATTGATGCGTTGACACGTGGCTCGGTTTCGTTCTTTTGAGACTCCTGAGGGTAGACTTAACGCAAAGATGTGCAGATAACTTCGGGTTGCTGCACCGCGTTCATTTGTGAATTGCAAAGCTTGCTAACCGTTCAGCCGAGGCGTCTTAAAAAATTAAAAGCTACTATACCAATGCTAACTCGGTGGGAACCGAAGGGATACACAAATGGATGCACAGAAAAAAGAAAAAATCTGAATCTACATTAGATACACACGTATTTGACAGTTACACAGAAACAAAAGAATAAAAAAAAAAAAAAAAGTTGCTTAAGTTGTACCTCTGCAAACACTCGCATGTAAAGCTCAAGCACTGAGAGTAGAGCATTATCACGCCATTTTTCCTATCTGTTATTTTTTATCCTACGATATTGCGCCATTCGGAAGAAGAAAAGAAAAAAAAATCCCATTCTAAATTTATTTTTACATTTTAGAATTTTTAAAAATGTTCACAATTGTTTCATCGCTGCTTTTTTTTTTCTTTTTTACTTTTGAGTGTTATTAATCGATGCGATATGATACCTTGCCTACAAAATTTGCAGTTCAGGTGGCTAGGGCAAATTTACACCGCCCTCCCCTTTTAAGTGCCGTGTAGTTTGCGCACCATTGTACAAATATATTTTAAGCTTTGCTATGCTGATTGCAATGCACGTCGACAAAATTTTACACTTGGTATATATTTTGTAGCCATTAAGAAGAAAGGTTTTCCCCTAGGCGCCTCTATGTACAAATATGTTTACATGTTATGTATGTAAACGATTGCGCGCATATGTATAGTGTTCACTCCCGCATAGCATAAACTAAACCTCTTTTTTGGGTTATTAAGGGCCGTTTAAGCTTTTCCACGGATGCCTCTTTTGTGAAGGAATTACATGCATATTTTATACCTGCAAGCACATTGCTTATTTTTCACACTTATGTCACTTCGCGAACGGAACACGTACTTAAACCGGCTAAGGCAAAGGTCTATGCATACCATATGCATGTGCAAACACGTGTCAGCTCCAGTACGCGCAGGAAGAAGAACGATCCACATAACTCAGAAAAGGAATCTAACAGAATAGCTAGTACCTAGGCACGTATGCTTAATTTGGAAAGGAGAAGATAAAACAGAACAAATAAAAGAATAAACAAGTACCCATTTAATACGGAAAAAAATGTCTATAATTTATGGTTTAGTAGCAAGAGGTGATAAGCAATACGGGTGCAATTTCGAAACGTAACAGATGGGGCGCATGCCGAGTACATGTTGCGCAAAACACACGTATACTTATACATATGCACACACGATTGTATGGGCCAAGACTACAGCTGTTTGTTTTATTAACCCCTTCTTTTTACCTCCCTTTAGACAAAACAGTACTGGCAGAATACACCGAATTCGGAGGAAATTTTTCCAACATAAGCAGACTGCTTCTGGAGATTATCCCCCCCCATTCGGCGAGGAAATCATACATCTACGATGAGTACAGTTTTGAGAGAGGCCAAATGGGGCAGTCGGTTCCCAAGAGAGAGATTAGGGCAAAAAAAAAGGCGTGGATCAGTACATTGTTATTAGCATGAAGGTGCATATATATATATAAGTCCCATACTTGCTTGTTTGTTTCCCCCACTAGAAAGATCCTTTTTTTTTTCCCATTTAGCTACGTTTTTCACCAGCTCATGAAAAATGGCATCACTTTCATGGCCATGACAGACAAGGAACTGGGCTTCCTAACCCCCTACGCGTTTCTAGAAGAAATATCCAAAGTGTAAGGCAATGGATATATTTTAAAGATGGCGTCGCGTCACCTGGGAGGCGCACGTGAGTATGGGTGTTGACGAGTGAGCGATTTTGTAGCGGCACATGTGCATGTATGTGTATATGTATATATGTATGTATTTTTTTTTATTTATTTTCCCCCGTTTACAGTTTCTTTAAGCACTTTAACTACACGTCTGATTTTATTACCCTGTCGCTGGATGAAGAGTTTAAGCCCGTTTTGAGAGAAAACATGGTATGTGCGAAACTGTGCCGTGTTTCTGTTTGGGAAAACGAAACATTAACGTTACGTAGAGTCCCGACGGGAGTACTCAAACGTGCGTATACACATTCCAAGCAATCTCCCTAATGCACAAAAATTGTAGCTGTCCTACCCTTCCCCGCACTTCCCCTGCAGAGAGTCTTCAACAACTACGAATCGAACGATGTGCATAACTTAAAAAGCAAAATTAGCAACATACAAAATATCATCATCGAAAATATTGAAAAGATACTGGAGAGGAGAGAAAAAATAGACATACTAGTTAACAAGAGTGAAAAATTATATCAGGAAAATATAAGCTTCAGGCGGCAAGCTATGAGGCTAAATTTTTTTATGTGGATGGAAGACAACCGATTTCTTATTTACTTCATTTCGGCTATAGGTATCTTTGTTTTTCTCATTTGGTCCTTCTATAACGTGTAAACGTTGGAATCAAGGGGGAGAAATCAATACCTTGAACATGGATAAAAATACGGTTAAAAGGTGAGCTCCCTCGTGAATTAAAAAATTTAAGTAATCCCATTCTGCGTGCTCAAGTTGAGCAGACAGTAACACAGAAGAGGTTGAAGGTGCCGCGCATATACCTAAGCCCCATACAAACTAACCCAAATTGGTACTCGCAAAAGCGTGCCACGACTATAGTGATGGTTGGGTGCTCTTTCCAAAAGGATCAATTTTTAGGGAGTACTTTTGCTAATTTTTTTTTAAATTGTGAAGACAAAGGGTTACATTTTATGTTTCCCCCTTTCATTTCGGTATCCGACGAAATCTGGCCGTACGTATTTTGATTCCCTTTATTTGTTCATTTATTTATTTCGTCTTTTGTCCCACTGAATTGTTTTATCGTTTTGCGGAGCCATTTTTTTGCTACGCGCCGCTGTCTCACCTTGCATTTCCATTCCCCCCACCATCCTTGCAAACGCGCATAGCACATTGACACAGAATTCATTTTTCTCCTTTGTTTACGTATTTCACCCATCGATTTTTATTATACATCGATTTAGCAGCAAGACGATTTCGCAAAAGTGGGGAAACATCTATCTGCGCATTTTTTTTTTAAATTATAAACCTTTTATCAATGTACATTCCTATTAAAAAATTGCATACAGTAAAGGTTGACGATATCGTGCGATGTATGTAGCCCCCCACGTGTTGAACTAAAACAAGAGGGAAAAAGGAGGAAGAAAAAAAAAAAAAAAAAAAAGAGGAAGAAAAAAACGCAGGCTTGGTTATGATTGGTTCATAACATTTTTTACGTCTTCTTATATTTTCTATGGTGTGCATGGACTAGGGTTATACTGACACCGAAGTGTAACATACGAGCATGTATTTAGAAAAAAAAAGAATAAAATAACATTGCAACTTCAAAGAATTAGGAACCTTTTTTGCTGAGTTTGTAAATAAAAATGGTTTCATTTAATGTTTTTTTCTTTTTCAGTTCTGTGTAATTGAACCTAATGGATATATTCGCATCTTTCAATATTTCGTCTGGCCTGTTATTCTTTTCCATGAGCAGGTATATAACTCCCTTATCACTGACATAGTCATATACGCTTAATAGAAATTTTAAAATAATTTCTCTTCCATGTTTTCCCCCTGCGTAGGATGCAACAATATCTGTTTTGTTCATTTCGTCTTGTTCTGTCGCAACATATGGGGGGTTGAATAAGACAAGGTCGAATTGTTTGCACTGCCTTAAGTTGTTAAACAAATCGGTGTTTATTATTTCGACGTTTGAAATTGTATTGTCCCATGTTAATTTCCTTACGCATTTACAGGCCTTCTCGTTAATGTCAAGGCAATACAGGAGGTCAACGTTCTTCTTCTTTTTTATCAGCAACTCGTGCAGGGACAAAATCAGGTAGCCGCTTCCTGTTCTGTAGGGGGTTGGTCGAAAGGTCAGGGGGCGTACGTAAGTTTGTATATGTGTAAGCACATACACAAGTCCACATGCGCGTGAAAAATGCGTTTATAAACGTGCTGGCGTTCTTTCATACAGAGGCACAGTTGTGCCAAAGGTTTTGCCTTAAAATGTATTTTTTTCTCCGTTTTTGAAGTTACCCCATTTCTAGCGCCACGTGAATAGTTGGTGACATTGTCTCAATATCTTCTTCAAGTGCCTCAAGAAAAGTAAACGTGTCGCTGCTTGGCAGATACACATCTTTCCTGACCCCTTCGTTGCTATAAATGTGGTCAAAATTTATTTTCACTTCCGGAGAAGATGGCATATTTCGAAAGAGTTATGATAATTATAAAAATATGTTTGTGCTGATGATGGGGGCAATTATGACGGGGACTTTACGCAATGCGATGATATTGCAAGAAAGACGTTACATCAATTTGCTAATGTTATCAATGGTGTGTCAAATTCTAGATGGTATGTGGGGGAAAGGGAGTGCTACTTTTTCAAAAAGGGTAAAATTAGGGTGTTCAAAAATAGGGTGAAGTAAGGAGAAAATTTCACGTGCACTGTTTCACACTAAATATAACACTCTCAGGTATCGCTGAGAAGTACATAAGAAATGGAGCATCGAAGCGAAGGTCATATTTGGCTCGAGCCTAACATATTTTCTGGGCCATTATTTTTAAAGTTGTAGGAGGGTAGCTTCTGCAAAAGGGTCTTATGTACTTCGTCTTCCAACATCCTTTCGTATAACCAGGTGAATCGGTCAGAGAGTATTTCCTGTTTATTTAATTGCTCGTAGCGCAGCGTCCAATAAATATTCTACAAATGGAAGGGGTAGAAATGGGGTAGAATGGGGGTAGAAAATGGGACAGAGAAGAAGGCGCATAGTGGTGCTGTTCTCTTTTGTTTTTTTTCCTGGAGGGGTTAACACACAAGCTGTTTTGTGCTTGATTGGGAGATGCGGAAATAGGAAAATGTATACATTGAGAGACGTGTGTGTCAACGGAAAAATGTAGCAGCTTCCCTCCCCCTTCCCTAAAAAAGGAAATCAATAGGGAAGTCCTTTTACCTTTATGCCTGCAAACCAATAGGGCGCAGTCAGAAGGCCAATGAAGAATGGACCGACATTTGCTTTAGTCCAAAAATAATCTTCGCTGAAAAATCTACGACAACTTGCACTAAGAATTCGAAAAAGAAGGGGGGGGCCGTGGGGAGGAAATTTTAAAATTGGGCCACGAATCTTTCGAAAAGGCGCACGCGTAAAAATACACATATGTGGATATATACACGTGAGTATGACGCGGTGACCAACTCCTTATGAATACGTGCTTCCTTAAATTGGCTTAACTGATGCGCTTTCTAACTCAAAGAAGAGACAAATTTGTTCATTGGAGCATATACATACAAGGATACGCGCCTATGTATGCACCCCGGTATTTTCATATGTAGGTGCACTCTTTATTAACTGGGCCTTCTGCCATACCTCTTACACCAGGAGTAGCTACACGCGAAACCTCTGCCAACGCTTTTTACAAATGATAGCATTTTCAAACTTTGTTATGATTATACAGAAATACGTAGGAGCATGGGGGAGGCAAGGAGAATATTTCTCAATCCAGGAAAACACGCTCACACGTTTACTTTTTTTTGTACTTACTCATATGTGATTATGCTGTGTTGTACGTTATGTCAATGGGGTGTAAAGAAAAAGAAAAAAAAAAAATGCTTTCAAGTATATAGAGAAGTGGAAAAATCGAAAGAGAAACTTTGTTAATCCATCATTTTATTAAAAGAAAATCATGAAAAGGGTGCGCGCGCGAACGAGTAGATAATAAATATATAAACGTACATTGGATACATAAATGCAGCGTATGTGCATATTTTTTTGTTGTTTGTTTGCTCGTCGCGGATTCTATCGCATGGGAGGAAATACGCGTAATGTGGTTAAAAAAAAAGAAAAAAAAATTGTGTACGACTGAGCTTTGTGCGCAAATTAGAGGGGCTGTAACGAATATAGGATGACGCGTACATGTTTTTTGCGTTTTTTTTTTTTGCTTTTTTTGCAAGCGTGAATTGTTTTTTACATAGATAATTTTTTTTAGGAACAATTTAATGTTCAATTATGCTAAATGAGAGGTTCCATTTTTTGGCTTTTTCGCGAATCACGCATTTGTGTTGTCATATGGAAATGTTCCCTTCGTTGTACACATTTTCAATGCGGCATTTTAAAGCATTATAAGGCAGTTCATTTAAAAATTATTACCTTACTTCGGGGGGAATTAAACAAAAAAAAAAAAAAAAGTGTCCATATTATTCAAAAGTGGAGAAGTCATATGGAGATATTTGTGTGCGTGCGGATTTGTATGCATCTGCGCGTGCTGAGGCAAACAAAGGGAAATGAGGCTTAACAGGATTGCGATCGAGGACTTCCCGGAGCTTAACCAAGCGTTAAGGGAAGTCTCGAGGGGGAAGCTCGTACGAAACACACATAAGCCCCTCGCAGGAAGAAGCATAAAAAGTTCACGGCGAATAAACCTATACACACCGCATGGAAAAAACTACGCAAGGAAACTCTTAAACTGCTTTACCGACGTGAATCGCAAATTTTGCGCAATTAAGTTTCTTCTTCGGGTGTGCCAGAAGTGGAAGAGACTCCTTAACTGTAGCAGCTGGTCGTGGCTCATGTGGTTACTTTTGTTTAAATTGAAAAGTCGTTCAATTAATAATGAAAATAATTCATCATTTAAGTTTAAGGCGTCCAGCTCGTTTAGGCACAATGCACAAATTATCAATTCCTCAGAATTAAACGATTCCAGTTTTCTAATTATTTCTCGTATGACACATTTTGTTAAGGGTCTGTATATCTCGTTAGTTTTAGAAAACGGTAAAATATTAGAATCCGTCTTGGTTAAGTATTCGAATTTTTCCCGTTCTCCGAAATTTAATCTTACCAGTGCTATTAGTAGCAGCATGATAGTTCTGCCGCCTAACGCGGGGGTTCTAAAATATATGGAGTGCAAAAAGGTTTTAAAAATTTTCGGCAACGGTGTGTTTACATTTATGTGGGTATCCTCGGTCAGTAGCAGGTTTTCCTCCACGTTGTGATGATACGTATTGGTTTCGTTGCTATGGGTTTTTTCATTTTTCGCCCTTTCCTTTTCTCCATCTTTCATTTCCGCAGATGGGGTGGCACGAGCGTGATGGCCTTGTCCTTCAATTTGCATATTTCCATCATCGGGAGTGCTTTTCTGCCCTCCCAACTGATCATTTGGACAATCCTTAAAAAAAAAATCATTGGAAAAATCAAACTCTTGCACGACAAAAGATAATTCCGAGCTGCTAAATTTTCTCCTCTTTTCATTTGATATAATAAGAGGCAGACTATTGGTATGTCTCAGCAGTAGAGAAGTGTCATATCTGTGTGTATTCATATGGACAATTAAGTCGATCGGTTTTTTATAAAATCTGAAGAGTCTAGTTAGCAATTCGAACATTATTACTCGGTAGGGTGGGGTGCCGCTATAAATGTTTTCCGTAATTTTTTCTAAAATGATTTTTTCTAATTTTAAATAAATGTCGTATAATGCTTCTAAAGATATTGTGTTAGCATTCACCTCAGAAATTGAGTTTATTTCGCGTAGAAATTTCCCATTAGAAATGGGGTGCATAGAATTGTCATTTCCGGAGGGGTCATTTGTTTTATTCTTTACATTGGCCGAAGCGGATGAGGAACATTCTGCGACGTCTTTTTCAGATTCTACATCTTGTTTAACTCTATTTTTGGTGGATTCCTTCTTTACGGCACAGTCTCCACAGGGGCGATTTATCCCATCTCTTTGGTTCCTTTGAATGGAATGGTATTTTTTCCCTCTATTGTTTACATCACTCTCCAGCGTCGTATTTGGGTGTATCGTTTTTCTCCCCTTCGTGCTTCCTTCTCTCGTGTTAGCGGTTTCGTGCACATGTTTTTCATTTTGACGAACGTTAAATTGGCTCCTGTTTTGACCTTTATGTGCATCTTGAATTGGGATTCTCCTGTGATCAGAGTTCCCTTCACGTAACATCAATTTGTTGTAACGTTCATCCGATGATATCTCCACAGAGGGGTGTTGAAGCAGGTTTCCGTCACCATTCGGATGATCACTTCGCTCCTTTGGAGTATTATCATCCGATGAAAGGCTTGTTCTCCGGTGTAGCACGCTCCCCTTCTCGGTGTATGCACTGTGCTGTCTTATTAGTATGTACGCTTGGATGCAGTTCAGTATGGAGGAGAAGTCATTAAGCTCGAGGTGCGTAATTTTGTCCTTCAATTGTAGTATCTGATCTACTAGCATAGGTAGGGGGGAGAAATAGTTTAGTCTAGAAAACCCATCGGCACACCAGGATAGGTACTTGATATTTGTATAGTTTATATTTTCTTTCACAGGTTTGTACAACTGATGGAGAATGCTCCTCTCCGGTAGTACCTTCAAATTTGCTAAACCTCTTAGTAGGAGTCCTGAAAAATCGGATCGGTACAAATCATTTTTGTAGATATTTTTTTTTAAAGTGGTCACTAGCATGTTCACCAGATTAGGGTTATTACATCCAATTCTTCCGATGACATGTATCAGAAATGGAAGTCTTTTTATTTCCAGTTCGTGAATCCTATTTATAATTGTGCTGTAAAAAGGAGTAATCTGGCAATGTATTTGAAAATCATAAAAGAGAGCTAAGTCATCTAGGATAAGTTGAATGTCCCTCATAGATATGTGTGCATGCTTCTTGGAGATAATTTTTGCTATCGAGTAAATCCACTCTCTGTAAACTAAGTCCTGATATTCTGTGAGTACCCTTAACAGCCTATGTATGGACACACCATTTAAATTAACGGACGTGTTGTATTTACGGAAAAAATGAAATAACAAGGGCTCGATGGTTAGGTAGACATTTCTGTTCGAATGCCTACTTAGGTAGTATACCAGGTCTATAATTTCGTAGCTATTAAACGAATTCGCATCCTTTTTTATGTCATTACATAGTTTTTGTAACTCTTTTGTGTTTCCACTTTTTAGCCACTGTACATTGACTATATACTTCTGCGCCTTTCTGTTTAGTTTGAATGCGGGTTTCATGAACCCCACCCTTTTAGGGATTTGCCATTGACTGAAGTGTTTTACATGGCGGAACTTACTGTAGAGAAAAGGGTTGCCTCCCGTCTGTAACCATTTCGCGGCAACGCGCTTTTCGCGCAGGTAGATATTCATCTAAATGAAGGCATGGCTACACTCCTGCTTCCGGGTGTGCAGGTCTGTTATCGGAATTTCTAGTGGGTTCCCTTTGCAGCATCGGGGCCAAGGTAGGGGAGGCTTACAGCGGTGCCTGTTTGTGTGTTCTCTGTTGATAAGAATGCAGAGGGAAGCGGGAACGGATATTCGCAAAACGGTGAATTGATCCCCTCTCTCAACTGTTTGTAAACTTATGTAGGGGCTTAAAAAGATGGAACTGAAATTGAAATCTGCAAGGCAAAGGCGGTGACAGCAAAAAAGAAGCTTCAATTAATTTGGTGCAAAAAGGGGCCGTATTTTCATTCCATTCAATTTTTTGTTACATGCTTGTGATTTCCTTCACTGCGTTTTGCTTTGTCATGATGATTAAGTTATGACTAATAACCTATGCTTTATGACTTACGGTTTATGCCTTACGATTTATGACTTACGATTTATAAGTTACGGTTCAAGGCTTTCAATTTCAAGCGCTTTGGGGAGTTCTGTTCGCCAACAACGGTAAAACGAAGCATATAGGGCGCAGCTTGCTCAATGCGTAAAAAATAGCACGCGAGAAAGGGTTAGTTGTGCATCCTCTCATATGACCCACTAGAGTTAACCCATCCATGTGAAGTACATGTTTATTTTTAAAGCAGTCCTAATTTCCCATGTATTTTTAATTTAAATAAATTCGCCTTTTACAAAATATCTGGTGAAAATACTAAAGGGGGTGGCTGAATTATCTGCTCCAGATTTGGGGAAGCGTGTACAATGTTGGCACATATCTTTTTTTAAATGGACAAAAATAAAGAGGCGTAAAAGATGATACTATCTTTTTGCGCCCTTTTCAAAAATACACGTTTGTATTTTGGCCATTATGTAGGGAGTGGTTGCTGCGCGTTTTGCTAATTGTAGGCGGTGTTCTGTCGGCCAAGCGCTACCTTAGTTACACGAGTGTGTCGATGAGTGCAATGGAGTATGCCGATACGAACAGAATGCCCCTATCAGAATACCCCTATCAGAATGCCCCTATCGTGTTGCACATAACCAATTTGGTAGAGGCACATTTCTAGATAGAACGAAGACAAAGGGACGTCCACATGAGCATAAAAAAAAATACAGTAACCGTTGGTGGGATCGCGAAAATATTGTACAGTAATGTATATTTTGTGACGACAAAATGACGGGCATGTACAAAATTGAACTGGTTTGTTAATACGACAGGAGTGGTATCATTTATCTCCTTTCTGCGTGCAGGGATGGTAACATCGTTGAGAAGAGACCATTTTGCACGTATTTAAAGGTATACACATGTGTATAATGCCAGTTTTGCGGTGATGCGAGGGTACTCCGAGCAGTTATTTTTAAAAAGGCACGTTGTATGCTTTTTTTTTTTTTTTTCGTCCCCTTAGTGAGCAGATGCAACTTGTAAGTACTAGAATCTGATTTAGTTTTATGCCTTTCATCACTATAACGGTATTTTCACTTTCGCTACTTAGTATAAAGGGTGTTCACATTGTTGTTTACTGTAAAGTTATTACATTAAAGAGCTTGAACGGACCACATTTTTAATTTTTTAGAAGATTTATTTTCCCGTTATGATAACATGTACGTCGAATGACGTTTGTAAAAATTTCTTCGCCCGATGTATCTTAAATTCACGCCTGGTATTGTGAGAAAAAAAAACAAAAAAAAAGTCCGTTACGGGAACGGCGTTGTATACAAACCATTTTAATGGGCTAAACAACACTTACAATTTACAGTTGTTCAGAAATATGGATACCAAAAAATGGCATGTAATATTTTCTTTCTTTCTCGTCCTTGCGGGTGAAATTTCCACATATATTACGTACATAGGTACGTATGCATATATATGCTTTAAATAAATTTGTATATTTTTTTTATGTATAAGCTTTGTAATGTTTCCCATTTCGAGTGGGGCGGAAAAATAGAGCCTTAAGTGGTGTACTCAGGGGTTGCCGCACAAAATAAAACACATGTCGTGCTTTCACCAAAAAATGCAAATAATGCGATAAAACGGGAGTCTTTAAATTAACAAATTTGGATTACTAAATGAAGAAAAAGTATCTATCTATTTTTGTTGAAAATGGCATAAATAAGAAGGCAGCTTTTGTATCTTTACCTGCCTGATTGTTCAATTATAGGTATACATAATTTGTAAGAAAAAACTGGGAGCGCTTTTACTGCATACAATTTTTTTACAAGCTATATATATAAACACATGGAGGAACAACGCCAAGAAAAAAAAAATAAATAAATAAAATAAAATTAGTTACAAAACGCCTTCTCATATTATAAACGTTTCGAATTTGTAAAAAAAAACAGAAAAAAGAAAATTAAAACAAAATTTGAACTTAGGGAGAGAAAGTAAATTCATACGAATATTTTGCGTACCCCACTGTTTTTTTAACCTTTTTTTTTTAACCGTTTTTTAAAATAAGCAATCTTGGAGCTAATAACACTTATAGCAGGCGGATCCTTGGTAAAGATATATCCCCAATCCCCATTATTCGTACAAAAAAAAGGTAAGGAAGAGGAACAAAAGCGCGTTAGTGTACTTTTTATGAGGCCCACGCATGAAACGTGCGAGTGAAGCGTATGTATGTTATGTTGTTCGTATGGCTTTATGCCAAATGAGAGGAGTGTACTGAGTCATCCATTTGAAAGCATTTTAAAGCTGTTGAGCGGTAGAGCTCTATGGGAAAATATGCATTTGTGTGAAGCGTAAAATGATTAATAGTAGAGTAAAAACCGTAATGGCAAAATATATGCGCGGGTGGGAATGCAAAAGATACGAGGAATAGCATTCCCCAGCGGAAACCTTGTGCATGACGTTTCTTTGCAATAAAGGAGAAGAATAAATACACGTGTACGCAGTTATGTCAATTGCGCTACGTGCACTGTGGCAGCGTTGTATGAACCGTGGGTTATGAACAACCCACTTTTGAGCGCATATGAGCAGGCGTGCGAACCTTTATCTGCCCACATTTGTGCGCAAATAGGAGATGCATATATATATGTGTATGCATACGCGCGTGTGCAACCGTAAACGAACTACTGTGGCAAATTACGCGACACATTTTGCACCTCTGCAGGCTAGATGCAATTTTTTAATTAAAGAACGCCAAAATGGTTTCTGTTAAAACGAAAATTCTAAAAAGCAATCCCAGCGACCTGGAAAGAGAAATTGCGCAATGCCTGATTGATATCGAGTTATCAAGCTCATCGGACATAAAAAATGACGCGAAAGAAATTAAGATATTATCATGTGACTTGGTAGAAGTTGAAAAAATTAAGAAAAAAACGATTTTAATTTATATTCCATACAAGATTTATACAACTTACGTAAGGAAAGTACAAAGGAAACTTATCAACGAATTGGAGAAGAAAACCAAAAAGTACGTTGTGTTGGTAGCCAAGAGGACCATACTAAAGACGAAGCAGAAAACCAAGTCCTTTAAAATAATTCCAAGATCGAGAACTCTGACCAGTGTATATGACTCCATCTTAGAGGACATTGTAGCTCCCAGCGAAATAGTTGGAAAGAGGTGAGTGTACAGGCGAAGGGGCGTAACTGTGATCATGTGGGTATATATACACATATATATATGCATATGTGTGTCTATGTATACTGTGCGATGCTCGCAAAGCGCGTTTCTGACAACCGGCGCGAACACGCCACGTATGCGCATGCCCACACTCACCCCCGTGGTGTAACCCCCACCCTTTTTCGCAGAATAAGCATGAAGGCTGACGGAAAGAGACTATTCAAAATAATGCTCGATTCCAAGGAAAGGCAAAGAGATAACATCGACGAGAAGCTCATTAGCTTCGCGGCTGTGTACAAAAGAATCACAAAAAGAGACACGGTGTTTGCCCTGCCACCAACCAACGAAAAATGAAACGAGAAATGCGACGTGTGAAATGTTTAAAATGAGGGAATGCTTATCCAATTATTTATTTTTCCAAAATTTTTAATTTTATCGCGAATTCTCCATAACCCTCCAACATTTTCTTTTATGTCCCCATGCAACGTGTATATATCATACATATACGTGTGTGCATATGTGTTTTATTTTTTCTATTTTTATTTTTTACCACATTGCTGTAACGGCATGAATGGAATTTTTTTTTTATTTATTAACATAAGAGAAGAAGACTTGCAAAAAGAGGACAAAAAAAAAAAAAAAAAAGGTTAAAAAATTATTTAATTAATTTAAAACATTTTAAGGATTATCAAATGAAACAAGTGGGGGAACTTTCGCAGTGGAGCCATTCCAGACATGTTTAAAAAAAAGTGAAGAGTATTACATTTTGCACATCCTATGCAACTATTTTGTGTGAATTTTAAAAAATGCCGAAAAGACGCAAAATGGAATATGCGAAGGTGGGTGAGAAATATTTCATTTTTAAACTACAAAGGAGGGGAGGAGGACCCACACATGAAAACGATGATAAAATCGCATCTGTTAAAATCGGGTGGAGGTTTTAATTATTTTACAACAGAACGCCTAAGCGAGGGGGAAATTGGTCTATAACAATGGTAAATATGCTTAGCATAATAAGTGTGTGTCCCTCCTTCCCCTGTTCCGCCTCTTTACAAATTCATTTTCCATGGGGAATCAGCATGGGCGTAATAAAATCCTTTAGAGCCTTGAACGGAACCATTGCTTCCCGTGCACACATTTGCGTGTATATGTATGCACATTCAGTTCAGTTTAGGGGAGGCCACGTTTTATCGATGAGCTGCTCATTATACTTGTTAAGTTTTCTTCCAAGCAACGATACGAATTCTTCCTTTAAAAAATCGTTCTGACTTTTCCACTTGTTAATTAGGGTCGCCCTGGAAAGGTGTAAAAGTGGAAAGGCATGAAAATTAATGTTTGCGCGTTATTGGAAATGCGTACGTTGGACGCACTGGGACGGGCGCATATCCGGTGCATTTAACGGAAGGGTAGATTACATATATATATATATACTTATGTGCGCATTGTCAGCACCCACCTACTGCTTATTCGGGCCTCCCTTAGCGCATCTACGAACTGCTTAACCGGCTGACTGCTGCACGCGATAATGTCATTCGCCGAATGGGCGTAAAACATATGAAATGATAACATTTTTGGAAACATGGACCCATCTAATATGAACAATGCAAGGTAGTCATAAAATAACAAGCTGTTTTCATTTAACTCTTTTCTCGTCATGGGTAGATAATGAGAATAGGGCAAATACAAAGGCTTGACGCAAACCACGATTTTGTCCTTCCTCATGTCATATTTAGCCGGGGGTATCTTTTCATATTCGTTAATGTAAATGCAGACGTTGGTTATTTTCCCTAAATCTGATTCATTTACACTTAGGCAGTCGTACATGACGTACGACTTTGCGTTCTTCATTATGTAATTGTACAGGATGTATTTAGGGTACGGCCTACGGGAAAGAAGCGGAGGCGAGGGGGGGATGACAAGTGGTAGGCGATCAGACATCACACATGTACACACGTGCATGTATATACGTATATATAGGTACACCTACATGCACGTGACCACTCCTTAGCACTCTGCAAACGTTAGGAGGTGGCGAGGGGGTGGTGAATTACCTATTTTTATACATGAGCGAAGAAGAATTGATATATATTGGAGTGTTCATGTTTTGGGAGAAGTAAGCCTTTTTGTTATTAAAGTTCAAATTGGAGTTTCTCGTGTACTGGTTATGTACTAAGTCGGAGCGAATGGCTAGGTGATCTATAAATCCCTGGATGACTGCATAATGAATTATTTTTTTGGATAAGTCTGATGGGTTCTTTTCCAAAAGGTCAAAATTAATATTTTTGTTAAATTTGTGATTTATCAATTTTATTAAATGGTTGGACAATTTGAGTAGTTCTTCCATTTTTTTCTTGTCCAAGTGCATGGTACAACAGAAATGATTTTTGTCGTTTGAAAAATAGAAGGAGGTACAAACGTTAAGGTAAAAATCAATGTCGTTATCGAATCTTAATTTAAAATCATCAAGAGTGTTATCCTTTTCATCGCTGTCTGGGGAATTCCCCTCTGATGAATTGCTCTCGTCGGGGGGTACATCACCAGAGGAACAACTATTCACATCACTTTGGTTTTCATTTTCGTCGTTCTTTTTAAAAATTAAGCTTGCTAAATTGTAGTTACGTCTGCTGAGGGTGTCATTGCCGTCCGTTTGGCTACTACTCTTCGTTTTCTTTCCATTCATGACGGTTTTCCTTTTTTTGCCCCCTTTACCGTACTTCGCCTTGAGCTTGTAATCGTACGAAAAAATGGACTCCAAATATAAGCAGGAGACTAGGAGACAGGCTAACGGGATTGAACTGGTGTGATTAATCGCTAACGATTTTAGGCAAACGTCGGTTAAAATTTTAGCATATCTTGTGCTTATTGGTAGGGACAGGACGAAACTACCAGTAGGAGTAATTCCGCTTTTATGCTTCGGGTTAAACATGTTTATATGATTTTCGATACTTTTTTTTGAGGCCATTTTATCGCTTAAGGTTTTAAAAAGGAATTGGACATCTTGGTACCCAAAATAAACGCAGTTAAGATAAATTAATCTTTTTTTGGCCTCCTGAAATTTACACTTTTCTGGCTTATTAATGAAGGGGAAATGTTCTACATTTTTTATTTTAAAACTTAGCAGGTATAAAATTAGGGATTCAAGGGGGTAGTTCAAAATTGGGAAATCATTATCGTTTTTGAAAAAATAGTTGTAATAATTTGATGAATATAATTTGTACACATGTCCCTTTTCCGTTTCGATTTTCTTTTTATTTTTTTTATTTTTTTTTAATAAATGTAAGATTCGACCTGCTCTTCCTTTTCGTTGGATTGAAGAACTTTTACTTATATTATCAATAACGTAGTACGAATAATCGTTCAACGCTGAGTAAATTTTTCTCTTTTCCTTTCCGCAGTCCACTACGTAGCGAATGTTTGGCAGGGTGATGGACGTCTCTGCTATGTTTGTGCTTATAATGCACACTCGTTCATCATCCCTAGGGTTCTTAAATAAACTCATTTGTTCCTGCATCTGCATATTTGCAAAGAGCTTGAAAACTTTTAGTCTGCCTGACCCATCGCTTCCCTTCCAAATGCTTGATTCTTGTTTGTCCCTTTGTTTCTTCCCTTCTCCGTTAACTGTGCGTTCGTTGGGCTGTCCTTCCGTTTGTTCATCGCCCGATTGGTTGTACGGCATGTGTTCACTACAAGATTCGCTATCCTCCGAGAGTGTATCCTCCCCATTTTGGACAACTTCACCATAATGGTCATCCCCCTTGGTATGCCCTTCCGAAGGGGGGCCTCCTTCGCCAACGTCACCTTCAGTCTGACTGCTCCCACACAAAGGGGGGGCGTCATTCCCCTTCTCCGTTCTTCCCAAGCCATTCGATTCTGCGTTGTTGTCCATTTGGTTGGCTTCTGCACTGCTGGGATTATTCAATAAGCTGTAATTTTCTTCATGCCGATTCGTATCATTTTCACGTTGCTCAGTTTGCTCAGTAAGGTCAGGTGCGCTTACCGACAGGACGCTGTGCAAGGGAGCATCCTCGTCGTCACTGCTGGATGCTTCAAATATAATCCGCTTTTCTTTATCTTCATTTGTTGACCTGAAGAAAATACTGCACTTATTATCATTCGCGTTTTTTTCGTCCTCACTTAGGTCAAAAGAATTTATACTTTCGTTCTTGGCTTTTTTCGCTTCTTCATTATTAAGTTCAAGTGTGTGTATTTTTTTTTCATCTCCCATTTGTGTGTTTTTTTTGGACATTTCCAAATTGTTGAGTAAATTATATAAACGATAAATTTCTTCCTGACTTGTTAAGAACACTAGGATGCTACCAGGTGGTAGCCTCTTATGAATCTGTATAACTTTTTTTTTCGCTTCTTCAATATAGTCTTGAGGCGTGTAGGAGAGGAAGTGATCCACCACTGGGACTTTTTCCGTTGGAATGTTGATGGAGATATAATTTGTAAAAATTTTATTTTCAAAAAGGTGGGTATCATTAATAGTTGCAGACATAATGATGACTTTAATTGGAATGACATTTGATTTGTATGCGAAGTAATTGTTTTTTCTAATTTTGCAGATGATGGACAGGAGGCCTAAAATTAAATCCATGTTTATGCTTCTCTCATGAGCTTCGTCTAGGATAATAACACCATATTTTGACAAAATAAAATCGTTCATAATTTCTCTTAGCAGTATACCTTCCGTCATAACTTTTATTTTACTGTTTTTTAAAAAATGTGATTTTTCGAATCTTATTTGATACCCAGCTACATCTTCAAGGTTTAGTTCTTCGTTTAACCTATTCGAAATGCTTCTTACCGCTATTTTTCTCGGTTCTGTGACGCCGATGAGGTAGTTATCTGTGCAGAACCCGTGCTCATAAACAAACTGGGGAATTTGTGTGGATTTTCCGCACCCCGTATCTCCACTTATAAACACGACATCGTAATTTAGAATGGCTTCGATAATTTCTTGTTCGTACCCCAGGACGGGGAGCGCCTGTCTCATTCTCTCTATGTTTTCCTTTCGATTTATACTGACTCTTTGGTAGACGATTTTTCTTTTCTCTCCTTGCGGGTGGGAATGTCCTTCGTGACGGTGGTACGCCCGGTCCGATGTGTCGCCATCAGGGGAGGCGTCATCTGGATGCTCGCCATCAGGGGAGGTGTCACCGGGATGTTCACCATCAGGATTGTCATCATCAAGGTGATCATTTTCAGCAAGGTCACTTCCAGTGCTAAGCACATGCTTGCACTTAGTCTCCCGTACGCCTTTGCTGCAATTCGTTCCATTTTGTGCTAAACAACCGTCTGTTACTAGCTCAGCGTTAGTATCGTCTCCTTCACTGGGGATCAGATCACCATTCTGATTTACGTCAGCATCGTGGTGCACCTCTTCTGACACTTTGAGCTTCTTTCCCCCTGCACCATGTTGAG